ACCGCCGGCGAGGCGGCAAGCTATTTGTAACAAATATTCATAACTTTAAAAAATTACAGATAGTTCTTCTGTGTTGGCGACAGCCATTTGAAATTTTTAATTATTTTGTCATTATTTACGCTTAAAAGTAAGCCAAAGAAGCCTGGACTAAAAAATTACGGATAGTTCTTCTGTGTTGGCGACAGCCCATTTGAAATTTTTAATTGTTCAGTCATTATTTACGCTTAAAAGTAAGCCAAAGAAGCCTGGACTAAAAAATTACAGATAGTTCTTCTGTGTTGGTGGCAGCCATTTAAAATTTTATACTATTCAGTAATTATTTACGCTTAAAAGTAAGCCAAAGAACCATGGACTAACTAATAGGTTAGAAGGTAACCGAGTTGTTCAATGTTACTGAGTTTTGACGACGACATCTCTGGTATAAATTAGGATAAATTCGTAAATGTAATAGAATAATGTATTAATCAAATTTGCAAATTGAAACCAGTGTGTGAGACAAAATGAGAAAAATATTGTGGATCGGAAATTTCAAAGGAATGAAGCCGCCAGGCCATATATTTACGCAGTCCCTGTTGCACACACGACACTTACGCCATTCATATCGGAACTCCCGGCAGCATCAGGGGTTACCCCATTAACGTTAATGGGTTAAGAAAACATATTATATTAGGGTGGCCTCCTACACGGTAAATATGCGTTCATGAGACTATGATGTAGATCCGGATTGATCTTTGTGATTTGTTTGTTCTAAATTGAATCCCCATGCATTCATGGGGATTGAATAAATCTTTTGGCCAAATAAATTTATCAGATTTTAGGCAGTTTTTTTAGGAAGTTTGAAAGCTTGTTAAATGGACCGCACAAGCTTCGTGCTCATTGATCGGTTTGGCGACAATACCGTAGCCCTAGCAGGCTAGCTAGCACAGCCATGCCGTGATCTTCGTGATATGATCTATTTCCATGGAGCTGTCGGGAGACCTTTCTGCGATCTATTTCTCTCTCTGAAAAATTTTGATATTCAATGTCAACGCGATACTGTAGTGCGGTTACCATTATTCTTCCCTTCTTCAGTGAATTAAAATCGTTTATTCAATGATGGTTGTGCGCGCTGGGCATGACTAAGCGTGGCGTAAATATCATGGCACATCGCAACTTTTTGAACAAATTAACATAAAGTATATTCGGTGGGTCAAACGACATCGTTGTCAAAACTCACTCCATGCTCTACGTTTTCTGTCTTATTATTGTGTATTATTACGGTTTTTAGTTACTTTATTTGTTCCCTGCGGAAAATTTGTTGCTAGATATAAGAAAAGTTTAACCCCCACCCATCATACTCTCCCACTGTGAGCAGACGTGGAGAGTGGAGACTGCTGGGGCTGGCCCGGCTGGCGCCCTGGCGGTAGTTGTCCAGTTTCGCTAGTCTTGTTCACATGTGGAGTGACAAAAGCTTGGAATTTCAGTTGTGCAATCGTAGAGTGGAAAGTGAAGTATGAAATTTGAAAATAATTAGTTTTAAATGATGAACATGTTAATTTTGAACATTTTTAGCAGCACAAATTTCTTAGTTCTACCATGCAGGGCTTCTTAAAAGTTGAAGTGATGTTCGTTGGAAACCGTATGGTATGGGCAGTAGCCTAGTATGGCGGCATACAAGAACAAATTAAGTTCAGTGAAAATTTCTGCTGTCAAAGAAATTTCCAACTTGGAGTATGTGTTAGCATGAACGTGTTACTTGAGCTTATCGTGTTCATATGATCTAGATTCTAATTCACCATAATAGCTGAATCGATTTGTGCAACCGAGATTTAAGCTTTACCAACAGTCGACTGCGTACCTAATTAGCACCAAGAAGTCTACATCACCGAGCCGCTGTAAGCAAAACATACGTAGCTACATGATCAAGGATGCAGACTGCAGAGCATTGTCGTACGCAAATAAGCTGCTCGTTTTCCATAATTATGTGTTTTTTCATTATATCATCAGGTTTTTGCCGGAGTGAAATCGAAGTGTCGTTATGAATTGTGTTATTTTCGCAGAATTACATATTATAAGAGGATAAATTTCGGAAATTGCATATAACATGACATGACGGCAATGTTACAAAGCAACAGTTTCCAAGTGCAATATCGACGGTACTAGTAATAGTTCTATTCTTCTCTACAGCCGCTGTTGTAGAATTTTATAGACCCGTGCAAAACCGTTCGCTGAACGGGACTTACTAGTGACGTATAGTAAGTAGGTAAGTATCGTGAAATGACGAAGTCGTCAGCGAAGTGCACTGGAGGAGGTTATGTGGCAAAATTATATTATAGGAGGGCAAAAGCCACCACCAATCATTGTTTTTCAATATTAAGTGTTGTGCAGAAAAGACGCTTCGGAAGCGTGAACGTTTGAACTTTGCGAAAGGCGACTATGATAAACTCCGTGAAACAGTGATTGCGNTGCGAAAAACCAACTCTTGGTGCTCGAAAAAGAGAGGAGTTGGTGGAAGAGCACGGCAATGAGTCGAAATTGTTGAATGATGTAGTAAACTCCTTGAGTGAGATGGTGCTGTCTCTTATACACATCTAGATGTGTATAAGAGACAGGTTTAGATCTATGAACAAGGCACGAAATGGAAAAGAATCGGCGACAGGCCACATCAGGCCTACACTTCAGAGCCGACATCACTATGTTATGTTATGTTATGTTATGTGTGCATGCACGAGGAATTAGAAATGCACGAGATTTACGCCTTGAATAGCATTACCGCTAGCGATTCATTGTTATATTTTACGTATTGCATACCTAGAAACATGGGTATGAAATTATTAGCTAGGGTACTACCTATATTCAATCTGCGCTAAGTTGAGATGGTAAAAGTTGAGCCCTGTAGATGCATTAGGCTGTTGTTTGCAAATATTTTGGGAATCTTTGAGGATTGAATTAATGATTATTGCGGAAGAATACTTAGAAGTATATGTGAATGTTTTGTGCTGGCGAATATGAGAGAATTAATACAGGTTAAGATGGGAGAATATTTCGCATTACCGTATGTGGAAATTGTTTGGTACCCGCAATAGGTATAAGAGCGTTTGGTATGGGTAAGCGGGGTAGAATGTTTCGGACATGAATAATGAGGGAGAATATTGAGCGGTGTTGAATGTTGGACAATGTTGATTGTTGGCCGCTAGTGAAAGTTAGAGAATGTTTGGTTGTGGGTAATGCGGAAAAATGGGGTTGAAAGTTGTAACGACGGATATTATTCTTGGTTCAAATTCTTGTTTCTAGTCCATTTTCTTCATTGTGCCGCGGTGATACATTTATATCTTTTTTCATCTCGTCTGCTTACATATATATGGCGTTCAGCAATTCAAATTCACCCTCCCTTCCCCCCTCACTTTGGGGGGAAGGGAGGGGGCATATTTTAACGCAAATTTCAGATTCGGCCGTGTCAGTGCCGCCGTGCCGAAGATAATCAGATGCCAAATACGCGCGCCCCGCGAACGCCCCAAGCTCACTCGGTCTTTGACCGGATCCTAATTAGACGCTTATTTCGTTTCTTCCAAGGCGTAAAGCAGTCATATATAGCCGCTAATTTACGCGCTAGGCGAGCTAAAAGCGCCTTTACTTTAAAAGCTAACCACCCTCAAAAATTTGATAGGGTTTGTGCGATCTATTTCAATGGAGCTGTCAATTGACGCTCTTTGTATGATCTATTTCCTTGGAGCTGCCCCAACCCTCTTTGTATGATATACCTATTTCCTTGGAGCTGACCCAACTCTCTCTGTGTGATCTATTCCATTGGTTCTGTTCCGACCCTTCTTGTGTGATCTATATATTTCTATGGAGCTGTCCCGACCCTTTTTGCGACCTATTTCCATGGAGCTGTCCCGACCCTCCTTGAGTGATCTATTCCATTGGTGCTGTCCCCGTATTTCTTCGTGATTTTCCTCGGCTTTTGAGGAGTTTCTATCTTAACAGTCATAGCGAGCTCTTTTGTGCTTAAAGAAAGTTTCTAGCTAGCTAAAATAAAAAATTTTAATTTATTGATATGCCTTCTTGGCTTTCATGTAGTATATGCCACACATTAAGCCAGCTTCAATCCTATTAAAAAATCGTAGCATACAACCCCTTAGAGATATATTATGCACCCCAAGCTTGTAGATACTCCACAAACTTGACTTTGGGAAAGAATGCGGAATTTTAATCTTGCGACTTTTTTGCCGAAATTGTAAAATTATTTGACCAGCAACATTGTGGAGGATCGTCTATTTGGTCTACGAACCAACCCTGCACGGCGACCCTCAATCCAAACTCAAAACTTTCATTCACTGTGATTGAGGGCAATGTGGGGGTCAAAAGGGGAATGCGAGTCAAAACTAACGGAAATTCTATTAATATCCCTGAATACGCAGTTCGATTAATTTTAAGATTATGTTATATTTCATGTTTATTTTTTCTTCTCAACCACTTCATTGAGAGAATATGTGGAAGAAATTCAATGTTGGATTCAATGCGGAAAATATTTTTAATTTGGCTTCTCATGACATGTAAGCACCGATATGATTCTTCTATGAAAAGTACTTTTCATAGAAACACACACTTCTCGCTGACGCATTCGAATATCCTGCAATATTAAATAGACAAATGTAACTATCTGAATAATTGTTCATGTTTGGAACAAATAATGTGATCAAAATTAGACACCTGTATGGGTAAAAATACACGCATTACGAACACATTCATTTCACTCTAAGAGATTTTTCTTATTTTGATTCTAAAAAGCTGAAATTTTTCCCCCAAGCAATGTCATGTGTAAATTGGAAAAAAATCAAAGTTAAATCGTAAGTACCAAAATCCAAGTAAAATCGCAAGTACAATTTTCTTGCAGTTTAACAATTTACGAAATTATTTATATCAAGTTTAGCAACAGTTATAGTGGGATAATGTTAGATTTTTAATTCATTTTAATTTTTAAGAGCAAGTTATATTAAATTCATTTCCATAATTGCCAGGTTGGAGCAGAGCGCGAGACTCCCGATGACCAGGCTTTCTTCTCGGCAGAAATAAGAGGTTTGTATATTCTATACCGTACCTAAACTGTAATTATCATTAATTTGTCATTCTAAAATTTATTGTTTGTTCAATTTAATTTAATTGTTATAAATTTATCCTACTTCTTTAATGTGACCTAAGGCTTGTATGGTGGAGTGTAGGTGAACTCAAAGTCTCAGGAGCTCAACATTAGTGAAAGTATTATCCTTTTTTGTTCCATCATACTTTCTGCCTCACGATGGTTCGGATCGAGAGATCCAAGACAAGTTCTTCTATTTGTAAATGTCGTAGCTCGTATCTCTATTGTGAGCGAACTTTTTATCTGTTTATAAGTAACTCATCAGCTTCATTCAACGTACGTCTGCCGGTCTGAGCAGTGCGGCTTTTAAATCACACTTTATCTGGCAAGTTGATGTTTGAGATATATTAATAGGTGGTTTCGTAAAGGGATTAAATTGGCATTCCGATACTAAATAAATGTAAATGTTTTGACTACGTAATTCTCCATTGTTGTCACAGCAAATTAATGGTCCTTGTTTTTCCCAGCGAGTGAATGCTCCTGGGTTATTCCTGCAGGTTAATGCTCCTGGGTTTTCTTAGAAGTCAATGTTGCAGGGCTAACCCTATAAGTTAATGAGCATAGTTTATTCCTACAGGTTAATGGTCCTGAGTTGCTCCAGTAGATTAATGCGCCTTGGTTGTCCATGCAGGTTTCCGCCACAAGAGGAAAATGGTCGACTCCATGTTCCTGTGGCCGAACAAAACTGTTCCCTACACCTTCCTTGACCGTGAGTAGCCTTGATGTTCACGCTGAACTGTTCCCTACACCTTCATTGACCGTGAGTAGCCTTGATGTTCACGCTGAACTGTTCCGTACACCTTCCTTGACCGTGAGTAGCCTTGATGTTCACGCTGAACTGTTCCCTGCAACTTCCTAGACCGTGAGTAGCCTTGATGTTCACGCTGAACTGTTCCCTACACCTTCCTTGACCGTGAGTATCCTTGATGTTCACGCTGAACTCTTCCCTGCGACTTCCTAGACCGTGAGTGGCCTCGATGTTCACGCTGAACTCTTCCCTACACCTTCCTTGACCGTGAGTATCCTTGATGTTCACGCTGAACTCTTCCCTGCGACTTCCTAGACCGTGAGTGGCCTCGATGTTCACGCTGAACTCTTCCCTGCGACTTCCTAGACCGTGAGTGGCCTCGATGTTCACGCTGAACTCTTCCCTGCGACTTCCTAGACCGTGAGTGGCCTCGATGTTCACGCTGAACTCTTCCCTGCGACTTCCTAGACCGTCGTGAGTAGCCTTGATGTTCACGCTGAACTCTTCCCTGCACCAGCCTTGACCGTGAGTAGCCGTAATGTTCCCAAAGTACTGTTCTATCTCCTTGTGTCCGGAATTCCATTTCCGGACAAATTTTGAAAAACGTTTCGATTTTTGTGAATTTAGCTATGAAAATAATTCTTTAATTTAAATCTAATTATCCCTCGTTTATAAGTAAAACTCCTTTATTTTATTTCATGCAATAATATTAATGGCATTAAGGCCCTATACTGACATAGCGTAGCCTTAATGATCGATGATTATAGGCAACACGATGATTGATCAACAACTTGCCAGGTTTGAACGGACGGAAGCTTGACTTATATACATGTCTGTTTCTGCCTCAGTGAGGCGAATGGTTTTGGAACCGAAATGATTACCCCGTGTTTGGTTCGCTTATTTCCACATGACACGTAACTTATTTTCGCGTGCCATTCATGCCTATTTCCATGCACCACTTACATTTATTTTCACTAAGTGCTCATATTCCCAAGTGTCAGTTTCACTTATTTCCTTGCCTTCTCTCTTAAGATTTGAATCCGTGCCACTTCGCCAAGACATGATTAAAATTGAACAGATTTTGCTGCAAATTCGCCAGCAGGAACAGAAGCGAAATTCTGAATAGCCACGAATAAAATAATCCATTGGTAAATTATATCCGTATACCGTAATGCGACCACCAATGACTGGTAGTTGGCCACCGAAAAGGGTGACTATTTATCAACTGATGTCGGCGCCATGGAAGCTCGTAGAGTATTGGCATGCCGCCATATTTTAGAGTAGCTTAGAAGGTTGATACAGCAAAACATTTCCGTGTGTGCCATTGCAAAACTAATTACTACACGCGTATTCTAGAAAAGGTTATAGAAAGTTCAACAGCAAAAACACCCCTGTATTTACTTATAACAATAAAAATATAATTAGACAAGTTCTGGAATTTTATTCTTAAAATTTCTGCACACTTTACATCTACTTAGAACATTTATTATAATTGCACGTATTGTCTCACCCCGATTACATGCCCTCCTCTGCGTTGCTGTACAGACCCAGCAGCACCCTACTTACCAGCCGTATTGTGCATATCGGTGCACCACCAGCTGCCTTCTAATTACATGCTGCCTTGTGTGTTCCCGTTCTAATTGCATGCTGCCTTGTGTGTTCCCGTTCTAATTACATGCTGCCTTGTGTGTTCCCGTTCTAATTACATGCTGCCTTATGTGTTCCCCTTCTAATTACATGCTGCCTTATGTGTTCCCGTTCTAATTACATGCTGCCTTGTGTGTTCACGTGCAGCACCCGTGGACCGCGAAGCAGTGCTGCAGGGCGTGCAGCACTGGCAGCAGCACACTTGCCTGCAGTTCAAGCAGACGCAGGACACGAGCAGCCCTCACGTCGCCTTCAGGAGGCTCGGTGGCTGCCGCAGCGGCGTGGGCAGAGAGGCGCGCGGCCAGAACGTCTCCATCGGGGACACCTGCACTCGGGTACTTGGAGACTCCTATAGGACATGGAAATTCATGGTAGATAAGGATATGGCCAGGTATATTGGTGGGCTGGGGTATAAGGTCGCTGATGGAAACATAATTGGGGACTAATAGACTGTGAGATCAGGCCTTTGGCGAAGTAAATAGCCAGGTGACTTGACTGGGGTCCAAAATACTTGGGGACTCATGCAGGTATACAGAGAGGATGAGGCTAAGTGACCGGGTCAATGGGGTACAAATAAAATTAGAAAGATTGAAGAGAGAACGAGAGACTTCGGAATAGGGGGAGAGAGAATGGTTCAATGAGGGAGAGGTGCACTGCAGGAAGGACTCGGGTGCTGGAGGGCTGGGGTCTGAGAGACAGAAAGGTGGCTGGAGGGGGTATATATACCCTTGTTTAAAAAATTTATATTTTTAAATGTAAATAATATAAATATAATTTGTCTAGTAAGTAATTGAACCTCCAATAACAGAGTAAATGTTCTCTATATAATTGTTTATTTTCTTGCTTTTATGAATTTTTAAGTCGAAAAATTAATCCATTTTCAAGGTTCATTTTGCCTCCCAAGTTACGATCTCAATATTTACCACGAACAGAGAATAATAAAGTTGTTCCTTGCGTGGGTGCGTCAAGCTGGGCATCGTTGTTCACGAAATTGGTCACGCAGTTGGCTTTTATCACGAAATTCGTCGACCTGATCGAGATCTTCACGTGACCGTAAACGACAAGAATATTCTCGACGAGGAGCTCTTCAACTTCCACAAGCTTCAGTGGATCGATACTTCCATTCAGTACGATCTCTCCTCCGTCATGCACTACACGCCAATGGTGAGACCTAATTTGCATCAATAAATATCTTAAAAATTGTTACTGATGAGTGAGAATATTAAACAAATTGTCAACCAATTTCTGTATGAATATGAATCTTCGGTACCACCAAAAATCTCATACACAATTTCTCTTGCAATATCATCCATTAGATATTTATTGCCAATTAGTTAACAATTGACGGCTATGGGCACGAACGGTGAGTGCTTCGATCAAAGAGGGGCAAAAGCGAATCAATAACCGAAATCTCGGAGGCGAAGGCTCCACTTCATCGGCAGAAGTCAAACAGCTGACGGGTGCAGTCACGTAACGTAAACTTGCCGCATGCCACCACAAACTCACAATCAAAAATATATAAAAAGCTGACGTGATATCGCTGATGTTATTGCAGTAGACCAACGTGGCACGTGCTAAATGTTTATCTGAAAAGTAATGCATTCGTATAGTTGTGGGTAGATACTAAATTTTCAGCGCAAGAAAAGTGACAACTGTTCGAAAAATAAAGTCAAATAGCCTTTAGCAGTGTTCAAACGTTCACGCTTCCGACGCGTCTTCTCTGTACGGCACTTAATACTGAATAACAATGACTAGCGGTGGTTTTTACCCAACGGAGCCTCATGGTGAAGCTCGGCTAACATTGATTATTCACTATTAAACACTAGATTTAGAATATTTGGAGTCTGTATACCCCTTAAATAGGTTGGCTCGCGCAGACTCCAAGAACAGAGATGCTAGGTGATTTTTATCTCCAATTTTTCACTCAACGAGCGCTCCATCTCACTCAACGAGGTGATTACATCATTCGATGATTTCGACTCATTGTCATGCACTTACATCGGCTTCCCGCCATATCTAGCGCTGAGAGTTGGCTTTCCGCAAGTACGACAAAACCAGTGAAGTAATTGATTTTTCTGGAGAAATGGGTACCCTTCTGAGCTCAACTTTGAACAGCTGATACAAGTTAAATCTTCGTAACTTTCACAGGTCTGATCAACCTCGCTCACAGAGATATCTTTGCATTTTTTGCAAATTTTCATCTGTAATTGAGCAGATTTTACTTTGTCTTTTTGTCTCACGAAACTGGAGGGCTTTTCGACTACCTGTTTGACCGACGCGAATGCTGCTAGGCAACAGGTCAAAATAGGTATATCATAAACTTATCATTTTTGCAGAGGCTTGATAGCGACTTGGTTCAGCGCACGTATCATGACAATTGATAGGCCAGCGTACTATGTCTGTTTCTCCCGCCAACCATCGGCCGGTTCTCAGAGAGCGTATGGACCAAACGTTTGCGTGCCTTGTCCTTGCAACTCAATCTAGCTTTCTAGCTTGGAATAGAATGCTGAGGAAACGTGTAGACCATTATGTGTACCTATTTTATTCATCAATAAGAGCCAAATTTTATGGAATTCTTACTATGCGGTGCAATGTTGTCATGGAAACTAGTAAATTCGATTAGTGTTTTTCCGACTGATGGCAGCAGATGGTGGCCAATATTATAAAGCGAAATCGTACATGACATTTTTCATTTCATCTGATCAATTTTACCCTATTTATTTATAAAAAAAACTCATTTGAATAACTTCTAATATTTCCTTTCATTTCAATGTGTCAAAAAAATTCTATGTAATGACCCATGTAATATCGTATCAAGAATTTAATTATGTTAATTATGTATAATAACTATAAGTAAATTATTGCAATTAACCACGACGCCCGCGCGGGCCGAAGTCAGGAGTGGACGGGCAATGGTCGGGTGAGCGTGGCTACCCGCGAGCCGCTGCTGCAGGGCGTCTTGGGCGCCTGGAAGCGCGAGACGAACCGGGGCCTGTCGCACCGAGACAAACTGCTGGCCAACACCGCATACCAGTGCATAGGTGAGTCGCCTGCCAGTGCATAGGTGAGTCGCCTGCCGGTGTTTAGGTGAGTCGCCTGCCAGTGCATATAGGTGAGTAGCCTGCCAGTGCATAGGTGAGTCGCCTGCCAGTGCATAGGTGAGTCTCGCCTGCCAGTGCATAGGTGAGTCGCCTGCCAGTGCATAGGTGAGTGGGTGAGTCTCGCCTGCTAGTGCATAGGTGAGTCTCGCCTGCCAGTGCATAGGTGAGTCGCCTGCCAGTGCATAGGTGAGTCTCCTGCCAGTGCATAGGTGAGTGGGTGAGTCTCGCCTGCTAGTGCATAGGTGAGTCTCGCCTGCCAGTGCATAGGTGAGTCGCCTGCCAGTGCATAAGCCAGTGCATAGGTGAGTCGCCGGCCAGTGCATAGGTGAGTCTCGCCTGCCAGTGCATAGGTAAGGATGTCGCCGGCCAGTGCATAGGTGAAGGTCTCGCCTGCCATTGGTTGAATTTCTGTTTTTTTTTTTGATGGGCAAAGAAGAGTAAAATGTAACTTTTTGTCTTCAATAACCATTTTGCTTCAAGATTTCGGACACAGTGACGTAATTTATGCCGATTGCGCACATATTACTAAATGCGTACTCTTCGGTGGGAAGCGACAATATTTGTATGGATGACGTCAAGCTATCACATGTCTCGCCTGCCGTTCCATTTAAAGGTTTAGGACAAAACTGATGCAATCCATTGTTGATTGTCAACAATTCTCCCCTTCTTGTGTGTTCCTGTGATGCTGTTTATCGGTGTCCACGCGCGCATTCAAATCAAATAAATCATAATTAACGCAAAATCATAATCCACATCGTTATTTTTTTTTTAAACTATTCAATTGACCAAATGCAACATTGAAAATCAAGGCATGGTCTGGTGAATGGATTTTTTCGCAGCCCAGTGGTTGTCTGCCTGTGGATTGCCAGTAGACCCCTGCCAGGGCGAGGGCTACACGGGAGCAGACTGCCGCTGTGTCTGCCCGCCTGGCACTGCCGGCACACTGTGCCAGCACACAACCGGCGGATACTACGGTGAGTCTTGAGTGCGCCACGACCACACATGACACTCATGAGTGTGCGTGACGTCCGTGTGATGGATGGTTCCTTAATGATAAGTTGGCTCGCGTATTGAACGAATTGCCACATATATGTTACGTTTAAGCGAGGTATCACGCAAATATATGAGGGTCTAGAGCAAGAAATTCATCACATTAATGTGGGATAACCTGAGATGTGGTCGCTTGGGTGGGATAGCGTCAGATGTGGCCGGTTTTCTGCGAGTCCTTTTTATGCTTAAGACAATGAGCACCATAAAGTGGAAGATTTCAATCGCCTCCATTAAGCATACCTTGAAAATTTTTAGAGGCGTGAGCGACCCTGCATTAGGGCCGCCTAGGACTCTGCGTGGGAGCACGCAAATCAGCTTCTCTATATATATATGTCTGCTTCGGGTTGAGTTTCGAAGGGCAGCCTCTGGGCAGCTTGCTAGCTCCGTATGACTCGGCTCGGCCATCCCTTGTCATACTCTCAGGCGACTATATAAGGTCGGATATAGGAGCCCTAGCTATAAAAATTTTTAGTTGGTGGCGAGCCTGAATTAGGAACCGCCTAGGACTCGGACCGAACGTAAATCAGCTTCTCTATGTCCGCTTTTTGGTCTACATTCCGGCCCCCGAATCAGACAGCCACCAGAGCCTGGTGAGGGGACTGAGGGGATTCTGCCAACTCTTGCCCTACTCTCAGGAGACCATAAAGTCGGCCAGGAGGTTCTGACTAGTCGCTGATTGCGATCAGTTGGCCAACTGACCCAGAATAACTTTGCGCCGAGTGTAGTGACTATTCGGCCGAAGCCTAGGCGGTCCCCGAATTTTGTTAGGGACGAGATTCTGACCACGAAAAGATTTCGATCGGGTGGTCAAGCAGACACAGAATAACTTTGCACCGAGTGTAGTGACTATTCGGCCGAAGCCTAGACAGGGTACAAATTTTGGTAGGGTATATAACTAATGATTTCGAGAAGAAGAGCCTAATTCACATGAAAATTTCAAGTAAAATATTTAACACCTGTTATTCTTTTTGAATAATGTTTAGAAGGCCTAACCAGTAAAAATGTAGTAATTTGAGGTAGTGATTATTTTCATTATTTCATAAGATCTCATACCGATAATCTCAAGTGAGCCGTTCTATCGTGAAGGTCAGCAATACAGAAGACATATTTCGCTTAAATTCAATGTACAAGTTTACAAAACTCAATCGATGAGATTGATTCTCAATTAAATCTTCAAGTTTCAGTTATCTAGATTTTTCACGCACCACTGGAATCAAGAACAAATTATCAATTATGCAATAAGGTTGCACGATGTTCACCTAAACGCCAATGTGATGAAGTTTTTGCCAGTCAGTTTTTGTCGTAATTGTTTCCTAATCTAGTGCAATACTTAATGAATAAGTGCGATACTTGAGGTTGAATATAATACTGTATTTTATTTGTGGATACAGATGACCTCCTGTCACCCTGCAGCAAGACTGTCGCCTACGACACCATCATCCGCTCCCCCAACTACCCCTACAACTACGATAAGGGTGAGCACGCCTGTTGCACAGGACCCAGTTAAAAATTAACGCTTGCATTGCTTACCACCGCATACAATCTACGGTCGTATATGTATGCCGCAACAGTGCAACGGTAGTGAACAGTGATGGAAAGACAATTTTGGTGCCTTATCAGGGTTACTCGTTGGCGTTGTGCCGTTGCCTATTAGCCTCTCGACAGCAGCATGCATTGATGGGCAATGTGGCATCGCTACGATATTGGCGCTACCACTATCGGTTGGCTGCTTATGCCGTCGCCATACCATGCAGTGCCGTTTTAGTAGCGACCTAAATACGGCCGTCTAATTCATTTGGAAAAGGCTGCCCTGCCTTACCGGAACAAGGATAGAATTGATTATGTTACGCCAGCACAAGTTAGGCACATGAATGTCATTTATTTAGAAAAAAATAATTGAAAATAATAAAAAGTGGTCACAAACGGCATACATTAATTAATACATTTACATAACAAAACATTACATTCGTTTACGTACATTAATACAGAAGAAAAGACATTAATATTTAAATCGTAATATTGATTTATTTAACATTTAATAATAATATGAATGAATTTCCGTACATGATTTACATGATTTTTCCAATGAAGAATTTGCTTGCTCTGAAAATACGTTAGCGCAATATATTAATTACTGTCGCTTCAGTTCTGAGGCCATACTTTCAAAACTCGCTAATTAAGTGAACGTAAGTACTTACGCTCTATTTTCTTGTCTATGATTGGTGGATGTTGCTTGCGTGGCCGTCAATGATTGGCTGATGGACTTACGATCTCTTAACTTTTTTCGAAAGTATGGGCCCAGCACTCCTACTACTTTTATGAGGTGAGTGAGTGTTATTATAATTATTATTATTTACAACACTTCTCTTTAACTTCACTTCTTGTTTGTTTGTCTGTCTGTCTGTCTGTCTGTCTGCTACAAATCTTATAATCGAAACTAAACACACTTCTACTTATTCTATCGATCTGTCTGCAAGTCAAAGATGTAGCAGATAATTATCAAACAAATTTTTGTTTAAATTATATTTTGTTTGGCTTGTTTCTTATATTTGTAATACTCTTAGTAGACGCTTTTTCTGTGATCGAAATTTTCAGTGGTGATTTAACTTCGTTTTATACTCGCTGAACGTTTTCAAATCATGTTGAATACATATTAAATGATTTTCATAGTAGTCTGTGATTGGTGGATTTTGCTTGAAAGGCCGTCAATGATTGGCTGATGAACTTACGATCTCTTAACTTTTTTTGAAATTATAGGCCCTGGGCAGCAGTAGGGTAGCAGTTCTGCACTTACCAAGACATCGGGATTACGTAAATCATATTTCATGACGTGCGCCTTCACTTTGATTAGATTGCTGTTCTATTTTGGTAGCCTCTATTCATTTGATTTCTACAACTTCAAATTAATCAAATTAAACATAATAAAAAACAATAATAAATGTAATAAAAATATATTTATTGCAGAAAATTCTATCATATAGTTGTCCGAAGATTATTCGGCAGTCTCTAACTTATTCGCTATTATGATTTATCATCGGCAATACCGCGTGTGCAATTCTCAATAGGAAATTTTATCGCACTTCCACCCGCGGTGTGCAGCACCTAAAAATTGATAAATTATTTCATTTATTTTTACTTCATATGCATTTTTTATAACGAATTGTTAATTATATAAGTAGAAGTATTCCAGCGAGTATCTAAATCATTGAAAACAAAGAAACCGTCAGTCTTTCACACAATTCGATACGAGAAGTTCTATCCTTTAAAATATGCTTTTCAGTTTGCAAGATACTGATATCGATAGCAACTGACTTAATTGAGAAAAACCGGATCGACACTTCATCTGCGTCCAAGTGAGCGGATTCCAACGTAAAAAGTAAATGACTCCAGTATATGTAAATATGTAAAGTATATGTAAATTATATGTAAATTATATGTAAATTCAGTTTATATGTAAAGTATAAAGTAAATGACTGGATACTGGATACTCCAGTATCCAGTAAACTAAAAAGTAAATGACTCCAGTAAAACGGATTCAAACGTAGAAAAACAATTCAAACGTACTTAATTTTGCGCTGACAAACGGCTCACGCTGCCCTCAATTCTGAACGGATCTGACTGCAATTATAAAAATACAAATTTATTGCAAAGCACAGCGGTAGAGATCGTCGCATATTTTTACGTTGCTTCGTTTTTGATTAAAACGGGACTTTCAAAGTTCATACTGAATTTATAAACGTTTCGTTTGTCTTAACGCTAATCGACGCTACACCGACGATCATTATTCTAATTATTCTACATAGCGATTATAGTCACTGACGATCATTATTCTAATTATTCTACATAGTGATTATAGTGACATCTGGTATAGCAAAACTTTGAGGGTACGTTGAATACTGCTGGATCGAGGAACTATGAATAAGATTAAATATTATCAAAGAAAAGACACAAAAAGTAATATTCACTTACAAAAACGGCTATGAACAAAATTTAAAGAATTCAATGAAATAATAATGGCGTTTCGATCTTTGTCTTGTTCTTCTCTCTTTAATTTCTTACCGATGCCAAACTTGTGGTTTTCTTGCTTTTCTTCTCGCTGTCTTATCGATGCTACATTTGTTATCTTCTTGCTCTTATCGCACCTTTATCGATGCTACATTTGTGGTCTTGCTCTTCTTCTCGCTGTCTTATTGATGCTACACTTGTTGTCTTCTTGATGTTCTTATCGTTGTCTTATCGATGCCACATTTGTTGTCTTCTTGATGTTCTTATCGTTGTCTTATCGATGCCACACTTGTTGTCTTCTTGATGTTCTTATCGTTGTCTTATCGATGCCACATTTGTTGTCTTCTTGCTCTTCCTATCGCTGTCTTATCGATGCTACACTTGTTGTCTTCTTGACGTTCTTATCGTTGTCTTATCGATGCCACATTTGTTGTCTTCTTGCTCTTCTTATCGCTGTCTTATCGATGCCACACTTGTTGTCTTCTTGCTCTTCTTATCACTGTCTTATCGATGCCACATTTGTTGTCTTCTTGCTCTTCTTATCGCTGTCTTATCGATGCTGCACTCATGGTCTTATCGATTCTTTACTCGTGTCCGACGAGACCGAAACTGTCTGCCATAGTTAGTCTGCGTCAGTCTGCTATACTCGTCGTCAAGTGTCGTCTAGAAGACGTAAATCATCGTTATGCTCCACGCCTCTTAAACCATTCACGAGCGGCATGTTCATGCATGAGTGCTTGCATGAGTGCCACGCACTAGTATCGTTTACCACTCATAAGTGGCATATATGCCTCCTGGCTCGCGCACCTCCATGAACGGCGTACGTGTGTCACCTATAAGTGGCATGTATATACCTACTAATTAGTTCGTGAGTCAAAATGTAGCATATACATATGTCAAAGTGTACTACCGGTATATGTGACTGCATGGTTATACTATATTTGTCAGAGTGCCACGAATATGTCAGAATGTAACATATATGTCAAAGTGTACTAGATGCGACTGGTTATACTATACAGTGGGGGGAAATAAATATTCGTACACTTGAAAAATCGTATTTTAATGTATGTAAGTACACAAACTTAACAAGAAAAGTGATTTAAATTATGTATAGAGACGCATAGTATTCAAAAATACTATCAAAAGAAATTAAATCTCAATGCAACAAAAAACAATGCAACATGTTCACTTTTCGGGTGAAAAAAGTATTCGTACAAAACAATGAATCCGCATTATTTTAATTTAATACTTGGTTGAATACCCTTTATTCAGCTCAACAGATACCAGTCTATTTCTATACGTCTCGACCAATGATTTGCAGATGCTGACTGGTATTTTATACCATTCTTCTTGGCACACCACCTTAAGATTCTCAATGTTTGTTGGGGACCTTTTCTTAATTTGAATCTTCAAATACCGCCACAAATTTTCAATCGGATTTAAGTCCGGCGCGTTGGAAGGAAGGAGAAAGTTATAGGAAGATTGCTAGCCACTTGAATGTTCCTTTTAGTACAGTTGCTTCGTTCATTGGACGCTTCAAGACCCGTGACAGCGTTGAAAACCAAAGACGATCAGGTGCTCCTAGGAAGATTTATGCACGATCTGCTAGATTATTGGGACGAAAAATCCAAGAAATCCACAGATTACTCGAGGAGAGTTGCAAAGTCACCTGAGTGCCTCAGGAATTCAAGTAACCAAACGAACGATAAGCAATGAACTTCACAGAAACGAATTAAAATCACGCACCCCAAGAAAGACCCCACTCCTAATTAAACGACATCGAGATGCCAGGCTGAAATTCGTCAAGGAGCATAAGGACAAAGACTATGCTTTTTGGGAAAAGGTTCTTTGGACGGACGAAACAAAAATTGAGCTTTTCGGTCGAAATTATCGTCACCATGTGTGGAGGAAAGACGGTGAAGCCTACCTTCCAAAGAACACTGTGCCTACTGTAAAGTTTGGTGGTGATTGGATTTTCCAGCACCTACCTGGTGATTGGATTTTCCAGCAGGATAACGATCCTAAGCACACTGCAAGATCCACAAAGAAATGGTTCGCTAATAGAAATGTACACGTTATGGAATGGCCAAGCCAGTCGCCGGACTTAAATCCGATTGAAAATTTGTGGCGGTATTTGAAGATTCAAATTAAGAAAAGGTCCCCAACAAACATTGAGAATCTTAAGGTGGTGTGCCAAGAAGAATGGTATAAAATGCCAGTCAGCATCTGCAAATCATTGGTCGAGACGTATAGAAATAGACTGGTATCTGTTGAGCTGAATAAGGGGTATTTTCAACCAAGTATTAAATTAAAATAATGCGGATTTATTGTTTTGTACGAATACTTTTTTCACCCGAATAGTGAACATGTTGCATTGTTTTTTGTTGCATTGAGATTTAATTTCTTTTGATAGTATTTTTGAATACTATGCGTCTCTATACATAATTTAAATCACTTTTCCTGTTAAGTTTGTGTACTTACATACATTAAAATACGATTTTTCAAGTGTACGAATATTTATTTCCCCCCACTGTATTTGTCAGAGTGCCACGAATATGTCAGAATGTAACATATATGTCAAAATGTACTAGATGTGACTGCGGGTATACTATATTTTTCAGAGTGCCTCGTATGTGTCCAAGTGTACCATGTGTTTCAAAGTGTACCATATGTGCCTAGGTGTATCATATTTTTCAGAGTGTATACTATATATATGCCGTAGTGTACCATATATATGTCAATCAAGTTCGTAGCAAAAACTTGCAACGAAACAAGCCGTCTATATTCTTTGGCGTGAGTTTTAACTTGCTACAGCGGAATTATATAGGAAAACACCTCCATGCAGTCAAATCACAATTAATTTATTGACAATAAACGAACATTTGTAAAGACCACTTGATTCTTGCTGGGCGACTAGTGGAGTTCTTCTGAAACTTCCACTGTCCTTTTACCTTTAAACGATATTTTTAGTTGCGCTCGAGAGCTCAAAACAGTAACAATAAATCGAACAAGAAATCTTTTTTTTTTTTCATTTCAGGATACTGATCTCATATACGTATTAAAGGAATCAGGTACAATTTAAAATATTCTTGGTTAAATCCAAGTCTGATTTAAGGTGAATTTACCATTGTTTCAATGAATGAAATTACTTCTTTCCGTTAAGAAGTTTAGTATTAAAGGAATTGGAGTTTAGGTTAATTGAAACGTCGCCAACTCTTGACGTTGACAATTATGGTAAACAATCATACATGAAAAAGTAAGAGCATCACATAAGCAATAAAAACGTCCCTTTACAAAATCGGAAGTTTATGAGTGACCTGCCTTATTAAATATTTATAGTAAAATAAATAGTAAAGTAGAAAGTGAAAAAATTATTTTCCGGACCAAACAATAAAAAAGTTTCAATTCCCAAATTAAGTGTTCGCCATAGTTTTTTTTTTCTACATATATATGCATCGTAGGCCATGCTCGTGTGTGCTCAGTGCAGAGCGCTGGCCACTTATTGAGATTTGCCGCGCACTGATGACTTTAGCAGTGGGCGGTCCGACCTTAACAAGGGTGACTACAATAATAAATATTAGCTTCCTTGTAATGAAAATTTTTCTGCACGTATAAAACTGAGATAGAGCGGCATTCTACACAATATAGTGACTTAGTATTCTTCTCAGTTATAATGGTTTTGTTGCTTTATAGTAGTTATAATAGTTTGTTGCTTTTTAATCGCATTTACTTATACCTTGGATTACTTTAGAAGCAATCCTCTTCCACGATACTGAAACGTAATTTACGGTGTTTTGTTTGCTAAAATTCTGTAATGAACGTTCCTCTCGTGTCGAAGCATCTTTTTCGTCTTATAATTAAATTGAGTTAGGATTTTTTTATTTAACAATAAGTTAATATGTACTTATTTTGAAATTAAAACCAATCAATCAACCTGAACATCAATGATAGATTTTCTATTATTCCTTTACCCAGTAAATATGAACTGAAATTAAACTGGCATCGACCCACGCTATGCAAACCACAATGAAATATGAACGGCCCTTCATTACGAAAGGTTAATAAAGGGTCAATGCATGCAATGGCTTGGGACGCAGTAATAACCTGTAGGCAATTCAAAGTTTCGCACAACACGATTCCTTTCATCAAGTGGATATACAAAGCGGGTGGGGAAAATGTACAGGAAATGCGCTGACGTTGACTTTGCTGTCACCTCGTGGTCTCTGACGCAGCAGTATGCGTTAAAGCTGAATTTTGAGTTTAATGTGTCCGCGAGAATACGTTTCATATAGGCCATTGAGTTAAATGAGTTGTAAGATGTGTGTTTCAGGAGGAAAATACCATCACAAAAAAAATGCAATGAGTAAATGTTCAAATACCTTACTTGAGCAGGAAAAAAGCTTGTATGTTAATACGGAATGCGTCGTGCCGAGACGTATCGCTGTGGACTGATAGGTTATACGGCGTGCAGAGACGTGGTGCGTATTGGTTAAAACGTAATGTCGGGTGTGTTAATGCATAATATGTCGTGTATGTGTTAGTGCATGATAAACCATGCAGAGACGTGATGCGTGTAGCTTGTACGTAATGCATCTTACAGAGACGTGGTGCGTGTGGCTTAGTACGTAATACGTCGTACAGAGACGCGGTGCGTGTGGTTGAGTACGTATTACTTCGTGCAGAGACTTGGTGCGTGTGGTTTAGTACGTAATACTTCGTACAGAGACGCGGTGCGTGTGGTTTAGTACTTAATACGTCGTGCAGAGACGCGGTGCGTGTGGTTTAGTACGTAATACGTCGTGCAGAGACGCGGTGCGTGTGGTTTAGTACTTAATACGTCGTGCAGAGACGCGGTGCGTGTGGTTTAGTACGTAATACGTCATGCAGAGACGGGGTGCGTGTGGTATAGTACGTAATACTTCGTACAGAGACGTGGTGCGTGTGGTTTAGTACGTAATACGTCGTACAAAGACGTGGTGCGTGTGGTTTAGTACGTAATACGTCGTGCAGAGACGGGGTGCGTGTGGTATAGTACGTAATACTTCGTACAGAGACGTGGTGCGTGTGGTTTAGTACTTAATACGTCGTGCAGAGACGCGGTGCGTGTGGTATAGTACGTAATACTTCGTACAGAGACGTGGTGCGTGTGGTATAGTACGTAATACTTCGTAAAGAGACGTGGTGCGTGTGGTTTAGTACGTAATACTTCGTACAGAGACGTGGTGCGTGTGGTATAGTACGTAATACTTCGTACAGAGACGTGGTGCGTGTGGTTTAGTACGTAATACGTCGTGCAGAGACGTGGTGCGTATGGTTTAGTACGTAATACGTCGTGCAGAGACGTGGTGCGTATGGTTTAGTACGTAATACGTCGGGCAGAGACGTGGTGCGTATAGTTTAGTAGGTACATAATACGTCGTGCAGAGACGTGGTGCGTGTGGTTTAGTACGTAATACGTCGTGCAGAGACGTGGTGCGTGTGGTTTAGTAGGTTTAGTACGTAATACGTCGTGCAGAGACGTGGTGCGTGTGGGTGGTGCGCAGCGACGAGTGCAGGGCGCCGGTGCTGACGCTGCTCGACTTCGAGTTCGGCGCCCGCGACTTTCGCGGCCACTGCACCTCAGACTACCTCGAGATCAGAGGGGACTCCCCGAGCGACGGGGAAGTGTAAGTCTTGGAGCAGTGGGGAGGGACAGCCTCAAGATCAGGAGTGACTTCCCGAGCGACGGGGAAGTGTGAGTTTTAGAGCTAAGGAGAGACGTGCGAATCTCCAAGAGATAGGGAAATGTGAGTCTTGAATGAGTGAGGAAGGACCGGCTCGAAATCAGGAGCATGCTTCCGAGCGACGGAGAAGTGCGAGTCTTGAAGCAGTGGGGAAAGATAGGTGATTGTCATGCTGTTCATCGCAAGGAACTTAAGTTTTCGGCTTGAGGTAATTACTAATGGAAAGCGAGTATAACCTCGAAAAAATTCTGTTAATAAATCATACGTAGTGACCAATAATATATTACTGCGATCAACCTCCAGTGTACCATGCCTGCCTATTGATTGGTCGTGCAATGTAACAATATTTTCCAGTTGACAAACTGTAGCTAATTCTAATGTAGCTGTAGGTGACTGGCTAATACAATATCGGGCTCCGTCCCACCAGAATGTGTGGGCAGGAGATCTCCACGGGGACCCAATACCGCGCCCGTGGCCCCACGATGGTCCTCAACTTCAACGGGGAGCTCGGGGGGCACCGGGGCTTTGAGGCGCGTCTCCACTTCGAGGACATCGAGGGCTGCTGCCGCCGCATCGTGAACGGGTCCTCCACCTATGTCCTTAGCCCGGGGTATCCTGCGCAACCCGCGAGGCCCTTCAGCTGCGCCGTGCAACTCAAGGTAATGACGCGCGGTCCTTCAGCTGCGCCGTGCAACTCAAGGTAATGACGCGCGGTCCTTCAGCTGCGCCGTGCAACTCAATTAAGTTAAGTATATGGGCGAAACATACGGTAATTTTAATAAATCTGGACTGTCGATCCTTACAGCTCTACTGACTTACGTATACGTTATTCAGACCAAAAAATCTCAGTTACACCGCACGGTATGGAAAATTTACATGACGCGAAAATTGTATACTTGCAAACTGCTTCTCTAAATGACAGATGTCCATAAATGTGTTCTATCACATAAGGCTCAGACTTGAGTGTTTATTTCCGTAGTTCCTTCAAGTAGTTCTCATGATGCATATCCCTTCATCGCAAATACTTCGAGTGATGAAGGAGTTCGTAGCAGCTATTTTCCCAACTTGTGCGCTTTGATTGACATCCAAGAGTTATCTCTGAGCCAACAGACATAATGATCCTCATTTACATGTATTTATTGGTTGGAAATAATGACTTAGTCTGATAAGATTTCCTATTCTTTTCGTATGCATGTCATCAAATAGCAAGCGATATTTATCTTAATATTAACCTCCGTTTGTATTCTCTCTTCCTTGCTCAGTTCATTATGTACATGAGAGCACTGCTGCACATTTCCTCTTACTTGCATTCACAGGTTAAAGCGTTACGGACATTACAGAGTTATGTTTTCATTTTTTTAACATGCGGTAATAAATTACGATACCTTGAAGACATCATCTCTTCGATTTTATTTCAGTTTTATTTCTATGGTGCATATGGAATCCTCTGAACGTTTTCTCGTGAGAATTAAAATAATTGCCATTGCAGGCCAGTCCTGCAATGCTTGAAGTGTTCCTGCAGCAGTCGCAGCAGGTACCTGCAGGAGATGCGTGCCCTCTACAGCTGTGCCTACCTAACGGCAACTGCTCCAGGTATTTATTTCTGTAATTCTGTACCCAATTAAAAATATTCTATGGCAGAGCGCCGCGTCTTGGTAGAGCAATCAGCGCGCTAGTCTATCCACTCACCACGGCCGCGAGTGCGCGGGACGCAATAAGTTGTGTGAATTAACCCTCTACCGCCTGACACGAGTAACCGGAGCAATATTGTCACAAGCCTACTTCCCAAAAATGATAGGTTCTAGTGAGCGCAAAATTACTTGCACTGATGGTTGCCGCCACGTACGACAACTTTAAAATGTTCTCTGTTGCGTACAAACGTCCTCAGGTTGCTACACAACACTCAATAGTTTACGTATAATTTAAGTTGGAAGTTTAACTTTAAAATGTTCTCTGTTGCGTACAAACGTCCTCAGGTTGCTACACTCAATAGTTTACGTATAATTTAAGTTGGAAGTTATGTTTCCGTAGAGTGACATACGGCGGGAGGGGCTAAGTTCCAGACGTGCAAGTGGTGTAATTTGTTGCAACTGAAACTTGGTAGCAATAGTCGGCGGCCTATAGAACAGTTTTCAAGCTAATCATATAGAAGCATCCAAGATATCTTATTTCCTTGCGAAGGATTTTGAATGATAGAAGACCGTTATGATTTTATATATTTTATATAATATAATATAACATACAACTTTATTACCATATTAATGGAAGGTAATGTAGAAATTTATTCAAGATTTGCTTTGCCTGTTCTTACAAGCGGCCACTCCTAAGACACGAAAGACTAGCAGTCAATTTGACTTCGCATGAATGGTAGCTGGAATCAGACATCTTAGAGGAGACCCTAGTAAACCAGACCAAAGTGGATGAAACGACGTGAAGTACATTAGGTGCAAAAACTATCCGACACAAAGGAAAAACTTTATTATTTTGAACGTTAATTTTAACAAAATTGCAATTATCAAGTCAACATTTAATGATATTGTTGTTTTGATATGATATTTATATTTCCCATGTAAATTTACTTTAGAATACTATTTATTCATGTTATTTTGTTTGATAAGCTTTAATTACGTCAGTTTTTAATTTGTGTCGGATACTTTTTGGACCCACTGTACATTTAACCTCAGTAAATTAGACCACTGTTCTAAGACCTTCAGTAAATCAGATTCCATCAAGTCAGACCCGTGACCCTACGCAGGTACTGCGGATCTGCAGACCCCCGTGAGCCCGTGGCAATGCTGCCAAATTCAGGGTCAGCCCACATCTTGTCAGGGTCTCAGCCCTTGCTCCTCACCATCACCACCGTCACCACGCCCTGCCATAAGGTCTGCTTGCCCGTTAACTTTATTTCTATGTCAATTGGAATACAAATTCAAAAAGTAACTTGTCTTTTTGAAGTAGAATTTACATTTTTACCTATGCTAATAATTGACATTTTACCGATTTGCCACTTTTTTTCATTACTACTTTAATCTTTTATTTTAGGATTCTATTTCTTTTCTTCATAGCTCCCGTCAATAAGACCTATTAGTTCACCCTATTACTCGTATATTCGACTATTACTCGTATATTTGCATTGTTATTCAGTTTTCAATTATTTGTGTGGTACTCGGTTTGTGATCTTCGTTCATTTTACCTCCATCGCTTCCCTAAATACACTCGGGCACTGTAAATACGGACCTCGAGAAAAACACGGCGAAATTCACTTAACATTCTGTATTTACCTGCAAGATTTGAACTTAATAATATTACCATTCAATTTGCTTTTGTTCTAGCATCGGATTTATTCCAAAAGCATTTGCGTCCTCGTGTCAACTTCAGTTCAGCTTTTTGATTTGAGCGCTATTTTCCGTCAAGATTAGGCATGGTAATATTTGATTTCATTGCATTACTTAATATCATTGGGAATATTTTACTTCATCGAATTATTAGGCGTTGTTTCTCCATTAAAATTCCCGTACGAATTCTACGAATATTTTGATATTCTCGTGTTACGCTGTTTAAATGTTATTCGGGGAAAAAAATTCTACATTAATGAACTGACGACTTCTCAATAATTCCACTTAAGTATCAAATCTTTTATCAGTCATCTATTCAGCAAAAATACTTAATATCCTTCTCTTGTAGCTGTGATCGTATTATTATTTGCACATTTTATTACCATTAATTTCTTACCTTTAAGATTGTTTCATAATAGAACTCTATGAATTTTTGCAAATTGAGTTGATGTTTGTATATGTATAACATAATTTTTAGTTCTTCCAATACCAGCCTGCCTGCCTGCATCAACCTGATGCTTGAAATCGGTTTCCAATTCTAACAAAGCAATTTTTATTTTCTAAACAAATTGCATCCATTCTCACGCTGCAGTTATTGGGGACACAAGTCGAATGTTCAGCCTGCTTGGTCAACTTGTTTGTTGATGTTCAGCCTGCTTGGTCAACTTGTTTGTTGATGTTCAGCCTGCTTGGTCAACTTGTTTGTTGATGTTTAGCCTGCTTGGTCAACTTGTTTGTTGATGTTCAGCCTGCTTGGTCAACTTGTTTGATCATTCCAGGTCTTCAAGCTGGGCGGACCTGGGCATGAACGCTCTGGTTCCCTGGAGGTACTTGCTGATCGCTGGACCATGTGCGAGTACCACTTCCAGGTGAGCTCAACGCTGTTCAGGCCATGACAACATTAACACTTCGTGATTTCAAATGCAGAAAAATAAATAAATTTAATTTGGATTAGAACTTGAGAGATTTTTTAAAACGTCAATAGGGACTCGTCCTCGCTTCTCTGACTCTCCATTGTAAGTGATGTTTTATTCAATACATTGGGCTGAAGATCAGACGATTTGTTGGAAAATTATTTGTGGTCACAACGGGCGATTTGTGACCGTCATCTTCCATTGCCATAATTTTCCTGGCAATATTTACTTAAAGAACCGGTCCTTTTCTCTTTACGTATTTTCTTCGTTTATTGTGAAGAACTTAATCAACATATTAGCTATGGAAAAAATTAATCCACCCAACGAAAGTTTACGAATGCCTCAATGTGCATCGATTATAAACTGTTTTCTTTCAGATCGAAGTATATGTCCTAAACTAAACAAAATATATATTATGTCCTAAACTGCGTTTCAAATTCATAGCGAATGCGACCGATTGTTTGAATTGCCGTGAATTTTTCTGCAGGATATACCTAGTAATATAGAGAAGATAATTTTTCATAATCAAGGTTTTGCTAATTCGGTACATATTAGGAGAAAACTATTCACACCTTGTTACGAGGAAAGACAAAAAATTTAGGAAAGACAAACCTTTATTCAAGCATCAAACCCATGAATATTTATTAGAAGTGATTTATTTATTATTAGAAGTGATTTATTTATTATTAGAAGTGATTTATTTATTAGAAGTGATTTATTTATTAGAAGTGATTTATTTATTAGAAGTGATTAATTTGTTAGAAGTGATTTACTTATTAGAAGTGATTTACTTATTAGAAGTGATTTATTCGTTAGAAGTGATTTATTTATTACAAGTGATTTATTTATTATTAGAAGTAATTTATTTATTATTAGAAGTGATTTATTTATTAGAAGTGATGTATTTATTATTAGAAGTTATTCATTTATTTATTAGAAGTGATTTATATATATTAGAAGTGATTTATTTACAATTAGAAGTAATTTATTTATTAGAAGGGATTTATTTATTTTTAGAAGCAATTTATTTATTAGAAGTGATTTACTTATTAGAAGTGATTTATTCGTTAGAAGTGATTTATTTATTACAAGTGATTTTAGAAGTGATTCATTTCCGGCGCAGAGCCAAACCCCCGCGCATGTGATGCTGGAAATATCGTCGGCTCAGCTGCGGGGCGCCGGCGCCCTGCTGGTGGTGGACGAGGGGGGGTCGGGGGCGTACCCCCCCAGCAGCAGCAGGAGCTACAGCAGAGGGCGCGCCGTGCTGCCGTCCTACGTCTCCAGCAACGTCAGCGTCGCCGTCGCCGTCCAGGGAGACGTGGGCACCCGCGTCCTCATCAGCTACTCATTGTGTGAGACGCCCGGTCCTACTTGGCTACTCGATCCTACTTAGCTACTCGATCCTAGAAGCAGCTACTCTCTCCTAATTAGCTATTTGATCCTACTTAGCTACTCGATCCTACTTAGCTACTCGATCCTACTTAGCTACTCGGTCCTAGTCAGCTACTCGGTCCTACTTAGCTACTTGATCCTACTTAGCTACTCGATCCTAAAGTCAGCTACTCACTCCTACTTAGCTACTCAACCCTAGAGTCAGCTACTCACTATTACTTAGCTACTCTTATTGTCAAGTACTCACTCTTTCCCCATTAGGCTATAACTTTACGTGACTTCACCACGTAACAACTTCTTCTTGGTTTCTTCTACTTGGCGACCTCTCATAGCTACTCCTCTTTACCTCACTATATTTTAATCTCGCCTCGGTATTCATGTATTGAATTAACGGCATCTGAAAAACATTAATAAATTCTCAAGCTTACTTGTTACCTTGATTCATATTAATTATTTTTTCCTTTATTTGTTTATGTTTGCAGTTAGGAAAATATTCATAAGACTGTCATTGCTTTATGCCAGTCTATGTTCCAGTCGCGTTACATCGCGCGTAACGCAGCGCCTTACGTGGCACTCAATATGACACGCATGACACTCAATTGTGACATTTGTGACACACTGTGACACGTGTGACACACTGTGACACGTGTGACACACAATGTGACACGTGTGACACACAAGATGACACGTGTGACACACAATCTGACACGTGTGACACACAAGATGACACTTGTGACACACAATGTGACTAGTGCGACGCAGAATGCGACACATGTGACCTCAATGCCTTACTAGCAACACGGCATCATATGTGCGACACACAACATCCTGTATGACACTAATTCCTACAAGTGCCTCATAACGCCCTTGTGTGAATGTGTGCCACATCAAAATGTGTGACACACAGCATATCCTGTATGACACAAGTGTCTCATAACGCCCTTGTGTGCCACACAAGTGCCTCATACTGCCCTTGTGTGCCCCAGACGAGTGCCAGGACCAGGACGATGAGTGCCAGTACTGGCAGCTGGACGGGGAGTGCCAGCACAACAGCGCCTGGATGACGCGTCACTGTCCAGCCTCCTGCCGCGTCTGCAGTCAGTGACGCGATCGCTGCTCAGCTAATGACTCGTTAATGCACTGATTAACTTCATCATTAATGCACTGAATCATTAATGCAGCACTGATTAAATCAGCATTAATGCACTGATTAACTTCAGCATTAATGCACTGATTAACTTTTGCATTAATGCACTGATTAACTTCAGCATTAATGCACTGATTAACTTCAGCATTAATGCACTGATTAACTCAGCATTAATGCACTGATTAACTTCAGCATTAATGCGCTGATTAACTTTAGCATTAATGCACTGATTAACTTCAGCATTAATGCACTGATTAACTTCAGCATTAAGGCACTGATTAACTCATCATTAATGCACTAAAACATTAATGCACTGATTAACTTCAGCATTTAGAAGTGGTTGAATTTAATTAGTTAATTTAACTAATTAGAGCGTGGCTCATTTGGGAAGTTGAATGTTGGTCTTATTACTGCACGCTAACACTTGACCTGATTAGTGTTCCCTGAACTAATGATCCAATCAATCCTGATTACCTATTGACCTTAGAAATGATTAACTACCAATTAACCCAATTACTGCTCGATTACTTATTGACGGACTCAAATACTGCTTAGCTGCCCACCGACCCGATTACGGCTTGATTAACAATTGACCCGATTACATCAAAGTCGCTTATTGACCTAAATATTTGTTAGAAATAATTTACGCGCATAAATATTCATTCTTTAACTAATTTTATTCAAAGTTCAAGTTATATCAAACATATATTATATATATGTTACCCTAATTAAAAGAAACGAATTCGTCTACTAATTATATTTGTTTAGTTATTCATTTACTTATTTCTTTTCCCAAATTTATTTCTGAAGTTAATTCAAAGTATATTTTTCGAATTTCAAACTCGTTATCAGTTATTTAAGAAGCTGCAGCTCAAGTAGTCCAGTTTTTTTTGTAGCTGAATTTCTCATCGATTCATTCGTGCATTACTTAACTGCTCCTGAATAGCAAATTACTTACCTTGGCTTTGACATCAAAATTGTTTTATTTTAATCCCTCAATTATTAATGAATTTCTTTTCTTCCTGGATATATTTATAATTAGGTAATAGACTTAACTACGGAAGAATCATTATTTCACACCAATTTAATTCATGCGCTATTACAGTTATTGATTAGATGCACCAGCTAATCACTAATACAGCAGTTAATCATTTCTTCGTTATCTCTCGAAGCGTTGGTAAAGTGTCATCTATTTTTGTGATGAGAATAAAAGTATACAACCACCATTTGCTTGTAATCTTTATGTCTCATTAATAAGGTACACTTTGGTACAAAATCATTAATTTCGCATTTAATTCAATTTTGCGTCAATTCGCCCAAAAGCTAGTAATCAAGTTGGTAATTAATGACGTTAACCTTTCAAACAATTCATGCACACAATAAATCACTGGATTCGTGCGCTGTCTGGTTTACTTTCCGTACGTTTCAATGAATTTTTCATTGATTTTTCGTTATATAGATTATTCGTCGTATTAATTGTTACCCTAATTTCTGAATACACTGGATTTTCCATACTATGTACGTACTATGGAACGTTGTCACAGCCGCACTATTTGTCAAGGTTACCGATCGCTGCGCATTTCGAATTCTTTTTCTGCAATGGAAATTGTCAACTCACTAACAACCGTTTAAATCGGAACAATTTTTATATTTTTAACAATTATCTCAATTGCTTACGCAGTTACGAATTTTTTAAAAATAATTTATCCTCTTTCGTCATTCCAATATTTCAAAAAAAATTCTTTTAAGTTGCAACGCAAATTACACCTTTATTCGACGTTCCGACTTTGAGAGAATTCGTTTCTGCTGTTGGTCATTCAACAAACCGTATTCATCATATTCATCATATAGTTTATAGTATATGCCTTAATAAAATACCAGCGAATATTGATTGATTTAATGTAAAGTGAAAATTTCTCTGGTCAAAATCTTCTAGGATCTGAAACTTGCCAGAGATCTGGGGCCATACTTTCAAAATTCGCTAAGTTAACCTAAGTATTTATATACGCTCTATTTTCTTGTCTATGATTGGTGGATTTTGCTTGAAAGGCCGCCAAAGATTGGCTGATGAACTTACGATCTCTTTACTTTTTTTGAAAGTATGGGCCCTGAGCCTATGTTATCCCGTACCGCCACAGACACGTCGAGATCGTGTCGGGACCAGCACCTGGACTGCGGGTTCTGGGCGCAGCACGAGCAGTGCACTGCAAACCAGCGCTGGATGGCAGTGCACTGCGCCGCAGCCTGCGGACACTGTCGTGAGTTATACGCATACTCAACCCTTCGGTCATGGTTACAATACAATACATGGTTACAATACAATAAAATACAATACATGGGTGCATGGGTACTCAACTCTTAGGTCATGGTTACAATACAATACATGATTACAATACAAGTTATACAACACATGGTTACAATACAATACAATACATGGATACTCAACACTTAGGTCATGGTTACAATACAATACATGGATACTCAACACTTAGGTCATGGTTACAATAACCGTGAAGCCTTTAACATTCACTCATGTGAAGCGTTTATACATTAACTGTCGATAATATTTAATATGTGAAGCTTTTAACTTTAACTAATGTGAAGCCTTTATACAATAACCGTCGTTAATATTTAATATGTGAAGCCTTTAACTTAAGTTGTCTTGAGGAGGCAAAAGGTTTGAGCACATTTTGCCCGTTCGCGATCAAGCATAGGAATGTGAATAAATTTAAATTTCTGTAACCAGTAAAAGATAGTATTCATAAAAAGTATTCTGAAACCAATAAAAGAAATTAATCATTGAATATATTTACTCCAATTAATTTTTTAAACTTTAGCATATTGAAAAAAAAGTAACGTGTCCGCTAAATAGCCAATATGTGCCCAATAAATTAAGCGTCAAAAGTGGGCCTCCATGCGTTTCTGTCCGAGCGTTCACTGACCTCACTCATCCTGACTGGCTGCAGCTTCATTCAGTCGGGCTAACAACTTTTCACGCGACTTAATAAACACGAAAAGTGAACTTATGACAAGAAAAATCTGGGTCAAAAAGCTACTTAATTCAATTTTAGGAAGAAATTATATTTGCAACTTATTTGTAGCAAGTTTATATGAAGTTCATTAGCTTCCAGGTTCCAATTTCGATGCAATACGAGCCGCTAAGTTTGTAATGAAGTTCTCGGGGCAGCGGCCTTCTGCCACGGCAGAAGCAGGCGCGTCCGACCTTATATAGGACTAATATTGGGGGCGGGCTTAATGAATGCTATGATGAACGTGATACGATGTGTGCCGTGATGAATGTGGTAGCGATGTGTGACATGAATGTGGTACGATGTGTGGCATAATGAATGCCATGATGAACGTGATACGATGTGTGGCATGATGAAAGTGGTAGCGATGTGTGACATGATGAGTATGATAACGATGTTTGACATGATGAACGTGATACGATGTGTACCGTGATGAATGTGGTAGCGATGTGTGACATGAATGTGGTACCATGTGTGGCATAATGAATGTGGTATCTAAGATGAGTTTACCTATAGTTTATGTGCCGTCTAATGCTAAGTAGCGATGCGGCATCCCGGTCTCTGTGCCAATTCTGTATCTCATTACTTCGAACCATGGTGCCGTTGAACTGCATATTGTTCACTAGGGCCCAATGGTAGATTGTCGACAAGCCATCCTGTAACCTCTCGCAGTCTAGGTCCTCTGTGATCATCATCAGCACTCTTGTATCGTCCGCAAATGACGATGTAGATGCGTGTATATAGTTCCAATTTATAGCCACGACAACTTCTTTTCTACCTTCTCAAACTTCTGTTACCAATGCAATGAAAATTTATGATTACAGAAATGTTTGAATTCCAGTTATCGGAATTTAAAAAAAATTGATTCAGTAAATCGATCAGTAGGCTTTTTTCATTGTCATTTCTAATTCTTATTTTGCTATAAAAATACTATGTGCAATAATTCGTCATCTAATATAAAAATTGATTAATATTCTTATGATCCCTAGAATGAGTATAGCTTTTAAATGATAAATAAAAAGGTACACTCCCATAATGAAAGTGATAATAGAATTGTGCATTTAATCTCGTTAATCCCGCCCTCTATTCCGTTGCGACGTCGCGGCGACAGCGGCCTGCGCGGACCTCAACCCGCAGTGCGCGATGTGGGCGACGAGAGGCGAGTGCGCGCGGAACGCTGCCTACATGCGCAAGCACTGCGCCTACACCTGCGGCTTCTGTGGTATGTGCATGAGGCTTGATGTGTGTAATGTCAAGTTGCATGGCGGGGTGTGGCATTACACACATCTGTGGTATGTGCATGGCGTTTGATGTGTGTGGCTTCTGTGGTATGTGCATGGTGTTTGATGCGTGTGGCTTTTGTGGGACGTGGTGGCCAGTGGCATGTAGCTTCTGAGGTGCGTGACCTATGATGTATCTGGCTTCAGCGGTATGTGGTTGCTGCGATATGTGGGTGTTGGGGTATGTGGCTTTTGGGATATGTGGCTTCTACAGTAGTTGATTGTTTGGAGGGAAATTTCGTAAAATTTTGCTAAATACGAATTGTCTAATAATTTTTACGTGGAATTGCGGTGGACACTAATAGGGTAAAGTTGAATGTAATTTGATCCATCCTATCATGCGAAAAATATGTTTTTCATTGCAGGAAATTCATCAAGCGATGCTGCTGCATCTAAGGGGAATTCGACTGAAGTGATTGCCAAGCGCGGAAGAGATACGTCGAACGCCAACGCAAGCACGGCTGTCGAGTTGGAACTCGATATGGCCGTACCCCTCTCCCCTGACGATGCTGTGATCGTCACAAAAATAACAACAAATCAGCTATTGAACATCGTGCGTTCCGATAAAACATCATCACGGATGACAAACCCGGAGAGCAGTGAGCTGCAAACTTCGGAAATGCTGACTGCCAACTTTTCTGGAAATGATCACCACAACGCGGGGTCAACAATCAAGTTCGGTGAGATCGAGACTTTTCATTCTCTCGCGTTTGCAAAAGGGGATAATGAAACAAAGTTGACTCGGACTGCAACTGAGTCGAGTGAAAATGTTAACCCAGGCTCGAGATCAACCTACTCCACCAGAAGTTATCACTCGATTATTCCAAACAAACGCTTGAGAAATAATCAGTACAACGCGATGAATGCTACTGACACATCCAACCATTGGCTGCGTCTTCAAAGATTCGAGGAACTACCAACAAATAAAACGCTTAATCATTCACATGTATCAATCGTAAATAAAAAAAGAATTGCAGGGCCTAGACCAACAGATCGAAACTCTGAGCGCACCAGAGACAATTATGCTCGTCCAACAGACCACAAGATGAGAAAAGATGAATTTGTGAACGAATCGAATTCGGTGCTGCCGTCTCCATACGATGACGTGCCATTTGGCCACAACACTGAACCCTTCTCTAATGTGACAAGTCGTCGTCGTCAGGGGCAGGGAATGCTCGCTTCGGGGGCGGTGACGCCGAGAACCTCGCTAGTATTAAATAATACTAAACGTAGATTTGGCACCAGCTGGCATCAAAGTCGCCGGCAGTACAGTGGAGCTAATGCATCGATAAACGAGGCAGATGTTAAAAGGAACTTTATTGGGCCACAATTCGCTAGCACAGTCTCGCCAAGTTCTCCAAAGAATGAAACCGTCGCTATTGGATTTGAATATACGGGAAAACTCGACCTAACTGGCGTGAGTCAGAACCTAGAAGGTGATCAGAGGAAACTCGTTATTTATAATGTTGACAATGCGGATAGCGATTTTGATGTTGATAGCCACGAATCCAATAGCAGCTTTGGAATTCTTCCTGTTGAAATAATAGCAACGAAAATAAGCATCAAGGCAAGCTCCAATGACACCGCGATTTCCTCCGGAGTTCGCAGAGAGCAGACAGAACGGATGATAAACATTGCTAGTAACTTTCTCGAGAAGCTGCCGACTGAACCAGAGACGACTGCAACTAAAACCGTGGAGAATGTCTTCATGGACACAGCAGATCCTCTAGCGTAAGTAGTGTTCATAAGACGTATAGTATAGTATCTTCGGCATTGAAGAATAGGCCTGGATAGGCTTGTTGCCGATTCGTGTATTTTTCTTGACTAGTTCGCAGATCTAAAAAGCTGGTTCTTATGAACGTATGGTTCTTAAGAACGTGCATATCAACATAGAGTAAGAGAGAGAGAGTAAGCGGTGAGTAATATACCGAGTAAGCGGTGTCCACAGGAGGAATATAGTTCATAAAGAACTTATAATCATAAGCCTTCATGTGGTAATTGTTAGCAATCACGTGGACATCGTACGCTATGACATGTACAGGGTGTTTCAGAATTAAGTAACCCTTTTAATTTGTTAATAAATAAAAAACTAAGAACGTTATGAAGTTGAAACTTGTTTTATTTAAAAGAAGAACATTTTTATGGTAATATTGTATCCTAGTTTTTAAATATAATATCTTTTAAATGACTTTTAAATAAAACAAGTTTCAACTTCATAACGTTCTTAGTTTTTTATTTATTAACAAATTAAAAGGGTTACTTAATTCTGAAACACCCTGTACAACACTAGCCCACCCGTTATGCGCGTTCGTACATAAAGAACGTACGCGTTCGTGCGTATTAATATCGTTCGTACATTTTTTCTGCTGAAAAGATTTACTCGATCTCAATATAATTCCTAATAACTTACAAGGATTTTCATTTAATTAAGCGCATACTTAATACATAAATTATATTAAATATAAAAGGTACTGGTCATAAGGTTTCTTTCAACAAGAAACGTTGAGTGATTTATCAATACAAATTTAATGAACAAAAAAAGGTTTTACACTAAGCAAAGGCATGCTCTTTTGAACTAATCTGGATAACTTTACAGACAAGCCCTGGGGACGGAAAACCGCACGACTTCGGCCAAACTGATTCCAGAAGCTTTTATTGCCCAAGTTCATCCAAATGTTGAAGACAATCTTGCTGCAGAAGTTGCTCCTGTTACAGCAACTGTTCCTTCATGCGAAGTAGTTCCTTCAGCAGGAATTGTTTCTTCAGCAGAAGTTGTTCCTTCAGCAGGATTTGTTTCTTCAGCAGAAGTTGTTCCTGTTGCATCAACTGTTCCTTCAGCAGAAGTTGTTCCTTCAGCAGAAGTTGTTCTTTCAGCAGAAATTGTTCCTTCAGAGGAAGTTGTTCGTTATGCATCAACTGTTCCTTCAGCAGGATTTGTTCCTTCGGCAGAAGTTGTTCCTTCGGCAGAAGTTGTTCCTTCAGGCGAAGTTGTTTCTTCAGGCGAAGTTGTTTCTTCAGAAGAAGTTGTTCCTTCAGCAGGAGTTGTTTCTTCAGCAGAAATTGCTCCTGTTACAGCAACTGTTCCTTCAGGCAAAGTTGTTCCTTCAGGCGAAGTTGTTCATTCAGCAGAAGTTGTTTCTTCAGCAGGAATTGTTCCTTCAGCACGAGTTGTTTCTTCAGCAGGAATTGTTCCTTCAGCACGAGTTGTTTCTTCAGCAGGAGTTGTTCCTTCAGCAGAAGCTGTTCCTTCGGCAGAAGTTGTTCCTGCTGCGGATGTTGTTCATGGTGTAAAAGTTGTTCATGCTGCACAAATTGGTACTGATGCGGAAGTTTTTCCTGCTACAGAGTTGTCGATACTTTCCGCTTCGCAAACTCCACCAACTTCCACCGTCTCGACCTTTAAGCCTCAACCGAAATATGCAGCGTCGTTCCTAATGCCATTGATAAATTCCATTGCTGGCTCAGATAAATCGACGAACTCGCTGGAAAAAATTAATAGTACTGGGCCATTGTCAACCCTTGATCAAAAATTGACAGAAATTTTAACGAAAACAAAATTAGATACCGAGGTAAACTCTTATGAATCGTTTTGGAAAGAAAATCAAGAATTAGATTTATTGGAACGTGATATTTTCACAATGATACTCCCCACATTAACTTCACCACCACAGAGTGGAACCGGACCTACTCTCCTGCCTTCTACAACACAAATAACGCCACCTAATTACACGATTCCAATGAATATTAAAAATTCCTTCTCGTCAGTCGAGTATAAAACTGCCGCCCCGAACGCGCATCCCGAGGCGATTTCCACATCGACTCCCAAACCACCACACATCCAAATAAATGAAATGCGTGTGACTGAAGGGCAGTCTGATGAATTAACAAGAATAAATCGTCCAGTACATGACCGCGATCTACTAGCAACTAGCAAAATGATGCTCCCGGTTAAGCACGACCGCATACACAGAATCAAGAATGGTAGATTCCAGTCAGGATATAATAAACAAGTTGAAGTTCAACATAAGTTGAAGATTCATACGGGTGCCGATGAAGAAAATATAATAGAAAATCATGTAAATGCCCACGAATTCCTTACGCCCATTCCCCTTAGTGACCACGAGAAGATAATCAAAGAAAATTGGCACAGGTTTCAGGTTGGTAAAAGCGAGCCATCATCGTCTGGGGATTTTTCCGAATCAGGCTCTACCAATTTCTCCGAGTCTGAATATCCTGAAATGAAATTGAGACTAAATGTAAATGAACATTTTAATGTACACGACAGCAAAACTGCTCTGGATACGCAGCACATGCGTGTCCTAAGTCACGTCAGGAGTAGGAGGAATTACCTGACGTTCCTTAAATCCTTCATGAATAAAGAAGCTGCTATCGATGAATTTATGGCAGTGCCCTTCTGTTCCGGAGTTAAAAGACATCTACGCCAAGCTGGTCCACAGTTTTTGGCATCGATGAAAAACTTCAGGAGCCTCGTTAGATACAACAAGAAAAGTTACAAAAGACGTTTAAAATTTTACAAAATGTTGGAGAGAATTCTCATGCCCAGATTCAAAAGTGGTTGGGTTGAAAAGGAACCAATTTTGAACAAATTTTTCAGTAACAAACTTCGTAAAAATTTACGTCGCCTCTATCGCATCAGGAAGAACAAACTCCGATACTATTTGTTCGCTGATAGAAAATTCACGTTAAAGCAAACGAGCAGCCGCGCGAGGAAGCTCAGGCTAACGAGGTACATAAAGAAGTACGGACTTCGGAAAATTTTCCTAGGATATCGACTTCGTTTGATGAGCGCGCCGCTGGATGGCCATCCTCCGTTGCTGTGCATCGCCGTGCGCAAGCGAGCGCGCCAGCGCCGCGGTCCAGACACACGGGCGATGTCACCATCGTCATTAGTTCTACCATAATTCTGGTATGGTCACATGTATGCTATCGGCTGAATTTTGTTCACAAATTGTAGCTGTTACTGATTATATAATTATCTAGCGAACCGATGTACTAATGTCTATTTTCAGAATTGGGCCTTAGAAATAGCAATTAGTTTTGCTAAATTTTTCGGAAATAGATAATAAGTCTGTAAAAAGTACTCAATAAAAAAAATTTGTTAAGATCGTCTATTCAATTACAAATTTGCAAATTGATACAACATGAATTTTTTTTTAATATTTGCTCTTTAGCGCATTTTCTCCTTAACGGAAAAAATGTCCTATTGTGCTCGTCATGTTCGTCCGTTTGTCCATGACTTTTCGTTTTCGTTGATTTTGGCAAAATGCGCTCTCTGTCACTCACTGCAGTGAGTACTGAGTTATATTTTTTTCCATTTCTTAGGTCTTTCAGGAAATGGTCTTAATGACGCCTGGGGTAGTAGCATGGTATGCATTGCACTAGGATACGCCTTATATATCTTGCACCTGGCAATAAGCACTGAAGCTCCTACTACGTGTGACGTAGAGGATTAAACGGAGTCCCTGCATCTAAATTTTTCTGCAGAATTTGTGTTATGGACAGTGACGAGTTGATTATTACAGACTTCAAGCATAGCTTGAAATTTATTCGTGCTATTTTAAATTCATTTCACAGTGGAACAAGATTACAAATCTAACTTGAATAGGAAATGCTAATAATAGGAAAAGTATAACATTTGTAAACAAGATTGAGACAACAACACTGTTGCCTCAACTCCGTCAACCTGACCTCTCCAGATGCCTTGCCACACGTGCTGTGAAAAAGACCTGGGGGATGGCAATTCATTAGAGCCTTGTTTCCGAGCTATCCTCCTCGGCAATAATTCTGTCGAATTCTCAGCAGCAACTGTACATATCAGTGGGGTAATTCTGCCCCACTCGTGATGGTGACCGTCTTGCTGTGATGGTGACCGTCTTGCAGTGACAGCGAAACCGACAGCCACTGTACAGCAGTTGGGTACTTCTGCCCCACTCGTAATGGTGACATCTTGTAGTGACAGTGCAACCGACAGACATTGTACAGCAGTTGGGTATTTCTGCCCCACTCGTAACGTTGACATCTTGCGTAGTGACAGTGCAATGTAGTGACAGTCATTGTAGAACAGGTCCACCCGGTGCCCTCCTGCTGTTCACCAAGTAAAGTGCTTGTCGCTGCAGTTTTCTCTTTGACAGTTCAATTGAAGTTGAATACTACCAATTGCAATAAATAAATGTCTTCTAGTGAATCTGGTGCTTTGAATAAAGTAAAGTGTAGAATTTGATCAGAATTCAACTCGTAAAATTTAATTTCTTCAAAGTTTACGTACGGTTAATACCATAACAACAGTGATGCTCGGTCATGCTACTATCATTAACTTTGGCTAGTATAACTAATGTTCTCACTTGCTGTATTAACATTCGTTGCAAAGCCTCTCGGCCTAGATTGTCATCAATAATCAATAGTAGATGCTTGGGGAGTATCACTGCAATGAATTAGTATATGGTTTAGATTTACCCTCCTAATACTATGAAATAAAACTATTACGGTACTCTGGTTACTCGTATTCGTTTTTTTAGTTTAGTTGGGATGTCTGCTGATGTTGCACTGCAACGCTATCAGCCGCAAAATCTATAATTATTTCCGCGCTGAAAGACATAATCATTATTCGTCATTAGTGAAGAAACCATCTGAGAAAACCTCCAATTCACTGCAGTCTTAAGTATTTTTTAGTGCCTGTGGAAAATCTCGGCTGTTAGGCCGAACTTTAATGGCCACGTATATTCTTGACCTAACGAACCTCCCTAATTAGGAATTATAAGTATAGAAAAATGGGGCGTTTCTGGTCTTCAGTTGATGATTCATCAAAACGGGATACTCAGATGAGGGTAAATCCTGAGAGCTTAGAAGAGGGGCAACTTGCATCACTTTTGAGGCGAGTAAGAATGAAAAAAACCGCGATTTTTGCGTGGTGATTTATCTCTTCTAACCCTCAAAAATTAAGCTTCATCGTACAATAAATGTCAATGTTTTATAGTTTTGAGAATTGTTAGAGATGAATAACTCTCATTTAATGAGCAGCACATAAAGTTATATGAATAGCGAGGAAAATGGTTACCGATCGTTACGAATCCGTGGCCTCTTGTCGGATCAACGTTTATTGTACAACCAACAACGTAGCGCGAATGGCTTCACTAATGCCGTGCGCAATGGCTGTGGTAATGTAACATTTGTGGCTGCGTTAGTACACTAGAGTTCGCTGCAACGCGATCGTTTCCAGTAATTTCTTTAGTTTTTGCTGACCGTAGCACTTTAGACGGATACGTCGTCTCTAAATATGGACGCGGTTCTTTTCAACTTCCTTAAATTCTGAGCCCGCTTATTAAGAGGCGCAGGAAGAGCCGCGCATTGTCGCTGGAAATGATGTATAACAATGGAAAATGAGCGATTTTCTTAGCAAAAAGTATATAGTAGGCAATAATATATAATGCAGAATATAACTGTTTGTTGCATTTATTTCCGTACGTAAGATGCAACTGAAGCTTTAATATAATATTACCAAGGGAATATGAGATGCAGTTGTATAGAAGATGGATAAGTGACTAAATAAATTAATTCCTCGAAGATAAACTCATCTTCTTCCAGGAACCAAAGAGAACCTGTATAAAACTATTTCTCGTTCCTTCTAGTAGTAATTTTTTTCAACTTAAGACAATGGCTCGAAAATGAAAAGAATATTCACGATGGATTGAAAAAAATATAATTGATTAAAAATATCATAAAAACGCAACTTCTTCTTTTTCCAGTCATTTCAGTAGCCAGTTCGTTACTTTAACGCGTAAGAGTCGCCCCGCAACACCACATTCAACGTGGTGCACGTTGAATGTGGCGGTGCGCTAGTGACACTGGCGTGCATATATCGGCAGTACAAAGAAATGCTGCACGTTTTTTCATTAAAGAAACTTTTTTAATTAAAGCTCATACGAAACACAAACACCGAATCATACTGATTGTGACCACGTTATCAGCGGCCGGCAATCGGGCGTCTGGCCGGCAAGTTACATTGAAAATGGACTCGACGTATGGACTACGACCCAAGCCAGTCGTCTGCAGTGGACTGACGCAGAAATGAGGAGCAGAAAAAAAAGCGTTTCAAGAAGCATCTTTTACTCAGTGAACGACATCACACAAAATGGACGTGGGACTGGTATTCCAGTCGAGGGACTTTGTTTGGGGGGACTGGACTGGTATTCCAGTCGAGGGACTGTGTTCAGGGGACTTGACTCATTCCAGTCGAGGGACTGGGTTCAGGGGACTTGACTGTCATTCCAGTCGAGGGACTGGCTCCAGGAGACATGACTCATTTTAGTCGAGGGACTGGGTTTAGGGGACTTGACTGTCATTCCAGTCGAGAGACTGGGTTCAGGAGACCTGACTCATTTTAGTCGAGGGACTGGGTTTAGGGGACTTGACTGTCATTCCAGTCGAGGGACTGGGTTCAGGAGACCTGACTCATTTTAGTCGAGGGACTGGGTTCAGGGGACTTGACTGTCATTCCAGTCGAGGGACTGGGTTCAGGGGACTTGACTGATAATTCAGTACAGGGACTGGGTTCAGTGTAAAAGGTAGGAAAACGATATCTACTATGTATCCCTCTAGCAGTAAAATTAGAAACAAATTTTCAAACAAAACGGTAACGCAGAACAAATATAAATATGTACACTAGGTGTTAAGTTAAAATAGGAATAAAAGTAAGAAATGAATGCAAATAATACCTTGTCCTCAATACACGACTTTGTTTATGAGTAACTCGTTGCTACTACGTAATATGTTGAGTAACTTGTGAGAGTCGAGTCTCCAACAACCCATGCATTCATTGAGTGTCGCTAAACATGAGTAATAAAGGTTAAATTTCTCTGGAATGTAATTTTATATCAAGAGATGCACTTCCTCTCGGCCGAAACAGAACCCAAATTCCACATAATGTATCGACTCCAATCCACATCAACTTAGTGCGTTTTCAGCCGTCTGCCCGCATCGTATTTATACCTTGCAGCCACTTTCATCACATTTATACCCCGCGGTTACATACATCACATGGATACCCGGTATCCTTTTTCCTCACACAGGTAGCCTGGCATCCTTTTACATCGCATTGGAAGCCTTCATCCGCCTCCATCACATGGAAACCTGGCATACCACTTCATCACATGGGTAGCCAGTAGCCACTTACATCACCTGGATACCCTGCATCAGCCCTTCATTCCCCTCCTTCATGTAGCAAAGAGCCACCATAAATTCATGGCAGAGCGCCCGTCTTGTCGTCGAGGAAGCGCAGCATAAGCAGGAAGGGGGAGCCCTCGACAGCGACGTCCGCGAACACTTCGCGGAACTTAACCCTGTGGTGGTGTGACGGCAGGGCGACGTCGAACTGCACCGCCGCAAGGCAGAACACCTCCAGCTGGGCGACGCCCAGCTCTGGGGGAAGCAACTGGGCGGCATCCAGCTCTGGGGGATGCAACTGGGCTACCGGGACCACTGAGTGCCCAGTAGATCGGTCCAGCCGAGAAGAGGTGACTGGTATTTCTTGGTCCCCGGACTGGACCATGAGCCCTCCACCAGCGTACAGCCCCACGCGCTGTATCTGGGCAGGCCATGCAAGCACGTTGGGGAAGAGGGACCTGAGACGCGTGTCTCGTGACGCGGCCACGAGGAAGCACGTGATGAACCACACGGCAAGACAAGCAGGCTGCCGACGGGTGAAGTTACCCAGAGACATGAGCACCCACTCCTGCACCAGCGCCTCCCCGCTCTCCTCCATGCACGCCTCGAACACCTGGCAGTCCATAACTTTGATTGCATTATCCTCATTACAACTTAATGCTAGTAAACCAACAAAATTGGGTTGAAATCTTAGCATTTATAACGGCCAATAATATAATATTGGAGAACCTTGTGTATCGAAGAAACATGTAATTTCGCACTAAATTGCTGGTTGAACGCCGAAAAGGTTTCTACGAACACAGAGCCTCTAACGGATAAGTTTTCTTCACCAGACAAAATAAATTAGTAGAACGTTGAAGAATGAAGATAACATCTTTAAATGAATATATGAATTGGATATGAATATATACGAAACTAAAAATGAATATATAAGACAAAAATGAATATATAAGAAACTCATTACTACAATGCTGGGTCCATATCAAGTACAGGTTAGGATACTACGGTAGAAAGTGTGAGCTAGAGGATAGATCCTGCAGCTAGCGCGTTCATGGAGCAGCGAGCTGTAAGCTTCGTTCCTTATTTTATTTAAGGCTAACTAATAGAATCTTTTACCAGCACAAAATAGTATAGACACGAAATGATGACTTTATGGAGACACAAACCCTACTAAAAATTCGTAGTTTGACTCTCACTATATCAGCCTGCCCTGCACTCATCACTGAGTGTGATGAAGCTGACCTGGAAGAGTGTGATGGCGAGGAGGTGTGGATGAGGCTGGTGTGGTGAGATGAACTCCATGATGACCTTATTGAGGACCTGGCTGGGAGGCAGGAGGTCCAGGAGGCACAGAGGCAGCAGTGAGGCCAGGAGGCGCGCCTCGTGCAGGTAGCCTGTCTTGATGCGCTCGAACACTCCAGCCAGCCTCTCCTGCAGCAGCAGCACCCGCTCCGGCTCCTGGTCCTCTCCAGCGCCCCAGCAACTGCTGCAGGGGGACACCACTTGCTGCATTACTGCTGCTTGCTGCATTGTTGCTGCGTTACTGATGCTTGCTGCATTGTTGCTACATTTCTACTACTACATTATTGCTGCTGCTTACTGCCCCGCCAGCCATTCCTACAGCAGCAGCAGCACGCGTTCTAGTTTCTGATCCTCGTTCATAAGGCTAAACAACTCTCAAATCTGTCCGAACACGAATCCTCTTTAACAACTAATTTTATTGCGAGTGCAAAATACCAAAATTTATTAAATTAAATTAATTTATTGGACAAATTTTACAGGTGACATAAATTTATGTAAACCTATTCACAAAGCTGCCTGATATCTATGGCGACTTATCAGCCTAAATCTATGAATGAGCTTCATGCCCAAAGAAAAACCAGTTTTGAATGGTGACATATATGCACAGCGGTCGCTAAGAGGGTCAAGGAATCACTAACGCAAAATGCAATGTTTTGGAACAGAAATGCAGGTTCTGCTATCGATCGTCATTGGGATAGTTCATCTGCATGAAGTTTTGGACCCTGATACTTATCAGGGTCCAAATGCTAGGGGTCTCCAAACATCCACAGCATACGCAGCGCCCACCTGTTGGTGTAGAGCATACGCAGCGCCCACCTGTTGGCGACCCACCTGTTGGCGTAGAGCATACGCAGCGCCCACCTGTTGGCGTAGAGCATATGCAGCGCCCACCTGTTGGCGTAGAGCATACGCAGCGCCCACCTGTTGGCGTAGAGCATACGCAGCGCTCACCTGTTGGCGTAGAGCACACGCAGCGCCCACCTGTTGGCGTAGAGCATACGCAGTGCCCACCTGTTGGCGTAGAGCATACGCAGCACCCACCTGTTGGCGTACAAGAGCCTCAAGAGGAGGGGCAGGGCGGCCTGGGACACAGCGGAGGGCCCCAGCTGGACGAGGTCGAGGACGAGCTTGAGGGCGACCTCGTTGGGACCACGGCCCCCCACCCCCACCGCGGGGCACCGCACCAGCCGCTCCACCACCTCCACCACCTGCGGGAGGAGGGAGGTTATTAGAGTCTGGTCCCTCAGAGGGGACGCTGGGGATGAGGGATATTACGTAGCATGGAGTGGCAGCGTAAGCATCGCGAGTTCTGCATATTAAATCAAATGATGAGTTAAAACACGAGACGTGACCCACATGATTGATACATACGACACACCTTGGTATGCCTGGCAAACTTGATACGCCTGACACACTTGATACGTCTGACACACCTCACACGCCTGACACTCACGGTGGAGAGGAGGGCGGGAGGGGTGGAGTGCGCGGCTGCGGTGGAGAGCGCCACATGGAGGGCGGTGGAGGGCAAGCTGGCGTCCACGCTGTGGCTGTATCCCTCCACCAGGCACAGGCACAGCCGCCACATGGCCTCGCTGTGGCGCTCCCCCTCCTGCGCCACACTGGGGGAGAGACAAGGTTCAGGGGGCAATTCAAGGGAGGGGTTATTATCTAGGACAACATTTTTCGGGATCATTTTTCGGATGATCATTACTGTTAATGCGAATAATGATCGTGCAGGATCATTTTAACGCTAATTAGTCACGTCAGTAATACATCAGTATAATTACAGTCAAGGGTATCTAATTACCACCAGGGACCACGGCTATAAACTAAAAAAAAACAGCGTTGGAACACATCCATGCGGCAACATTTCTTCTCGCTTCGAGTCACCGACATGTGGAACAGCCTCCCTGATAGCATCGTTAATGCTCCGAGTATGAACATCTTCAAAAACAGACTAGACGAAGCTATGCAGGAGCATATGTTCAGTCTTAAAATGCCTAGCAAATTACGGATCAGGCAATAAGTCCAGCAGCTATCTCAATCAATCGTCAGCTATGGAAAGATCGGGTTCCAAAGGCCGGATCCCTTGTGAATCAAGTCACGAAAAGTTCAAGAATCGGCAACAGGCCATGGGCCTATTTCTTCAGTGCCGACACTTCTATTCTATTCTACTAATTATTAACATCAAGGGTTAATTACTAATTATTAACATCATTAGTTAAGCTAGCTTCATTCAATTAGTTAAAGAATGATATTATTCAAGGGACTCACGAGTCGAGGGCGTTGAGGACGAAGGAGGCCACCGCCTGCAGGAGGGCGCTAAGGGCGCCGTCGGGACCGAGGGCGTCGGGGGGCTTGGGGTCAGCGCCCCCCAGGGCTGTGGCGCCCTTGAACTGGGCGGTGATGGCCGTCAGAGCGGACCTGGGCAGCTGGGCGCCCTGCAGCAGACGAAGGGCGCCGCCCTCATGTCTGGGGGACTCGGTGGGGAGGGGGGAGGTGCCCGTGGTCGTGGTGATGGGGATTGATGAGCCCCCAGTGTGGGTGGGGAGGGACGAGGGGACGTGTAGGGTGGGTTCTAGGGTGAGTGGGGGGCGGTGGGCGAGGTGTGCCTGTAGGAGGTAGCAGGCTGCGTGGGCGGCGCCCATGCGCACACTAGCGCTGGGGGACGACAGCCCCTCCCCCACCATGCGCCCCACCCCCTCGCTGCACCCCCCATCATCCTGCAGCATATAGCGGACCACTTATTCATATATCATCTCAGCTGTTGTAATAATTATAAGTTCAACAATAACCGCACAGAATTGGTAACATTACCAGACAAGGGTTAGAAACCCGGACAAAATTGCGTCCGGTTATGTACTCCGCGCATGCAATTAGTTTGTACTTGAAAACCGGGCGCGAAAATAAATAAACTACATTAACGGACACAAAAAAAAAGCGCCAAACTGGTTAGAGTTAGGGTTAAGTGTGTAGTAAACCCTTCTTTACGTTGCTAGAGACCTTTCTACTGGGGTTGGGTCCAGCCAGGTCAAGTTTTTTTTACCTTATTTGCAATTAAAAACAAATAATTAATGTCGGGTGAAGTGGATTTATAAATATATATATACTACTAATTATAACACAACTTTATTACATGATTGAATACATATTATATATCATACTATGAATATTGTTTACATAAATAATCAATTATAATATCATAGCGAGAAGGAATAACTGGCACATTACTGTTCTCGATATTAACGGGCGATTCGACCCGTTAATACTGATTTCAATTTTCGACCAAAAAAGATCGCTGTGGTCTTGTTACCACACCGCTGTGGTCTTACTACACTGCTGTGGTCCCCCACTACAACGCTGTGGTCCCTCATCACACCGCTGTGGTCTTACTACATTGCTGTGGTCCCCCACTACACCGCTGTGGTCCACTCACCACATTGGCGGCCCTGCAGATGGCGAGGGCGCGTGCGGCGGCGAGTGTGATGAATGTGTGGGTCGTGTGGTCCTCGTGTGGATGTGTGGTGTGCAGGGCCACACATGTGTGGGCTACCCACACGAGATGGTGTGGCGACGACAGCAGCGGCACCAACACAAACAAACACCGCGCCACCTCACAAACAACGGACGAGCACACGCTTCTCTGCAGCACAAACATCAGCACAAACATGAGTGATGCGGCACAAACATCAGCACAAACATGAGTGATGCGGCACAAACATCAGCACAAACATGAGTGATGCGGCACAAACATCAGTGAAGCAGCACAAACATTGTAGCGGATTCGTTCAAGATTTCTATTTAATTTATAAAAATATTTACAAATTTTGGATTAGATTCAAATGTAAAAATAATATTTGAACGTCACCACAATGAACACTATAATAGTAGTGTTCCAACTTTTAGTAGTGTTCCAACTTCATTCCAACTTTTAGTATTTAGATTTATTCCACCAGAACCTCTCATTAGAGTAAGTACTTGAGTGTAGGAACTGTCATCCCGTACTATAATTACTTTTATTCGAAAGCTGAATTGATTTCAACTGTTTACAATCTATTCATTTTTATTTATATTTATATAACTTTTGACGATCTGTTATTTTTACAGGTTTCTTTACTTAGAGCGGAGTAGAGCGTCTTTATTTTCTCAAATTGAATTGAAGATGCTTTACCATCAGTAATCTCATGGTTAAGTGTTTGCTCTTCAAAAGCTATAAATTATATTCTTGTGATGAGTTAGAAGTTAGAAGTTAGTCCAAGGCACTAAAGTAAAGGAAAATAAGTCAAGGATCAGCAGGACTGAAGCCTATGGCGCGCTGGTAAGAACTGCTGGCCTGGGACGCTGCGTCCTTACTAAGGGGAACTAAGTTAATTCAAAGTTAATTCCTTAATTGACTTATTAACTAAGAACTAGGGGGAACTGGGGGCTGTATGGCAGGGGGTGGGAGGACGGGGTTTTGGGAAGGGGGATTTCGTGAGGGAGATTTGAGAAATGGTTTTTGGAAGAGGGTTTCATGAGAAGAATTTGGGAGGGAGGTTTAGGAACATGTTTTTGGAGACGGTTTTTTCGGAGGAGGTTTGGGAGGAAGGATTTCAGGAGGGAGAGTTTTTGAGGAGATCTTCTGGGATGGGAATTTAGGATAAAGTGTTTTTGGGAGGGGGTTTCAAAGAGAGTCTTTCATTGCTTGTTTTATATTTTAATCGCGTCGCTGTTTTACACGCACCGAGTCCCCAGGCGCGAGGCAGGCAGAGAAGACGTCGTGCAGGAGATGTGTACACGACGGCACGTCCACGCCCATGGCAGACAACAGCGTCTGCTGGGGACTGTGGTCTGCAGCCCCGTCCTCCTCCTCACCTGCACACACGTCTTTAGTACCAGGTGCAGGGTCTACAGACACTACAGCTTTAGTACGAGGTGCACGGTCTGCAGACACTACAGCTTTAGTACGAGGTGCACGGTCTGCAGACACTACAGCTTTAGTACGAGGTGCACGGTCTGCAGACACTACAGCCCGTGAACACAACACCCCCCGTGACCAAGATCAAGAGGTAAGTTATCTAAACAACTGTTACTTATTTATCCCTCACGCCCAGGGGCCGTACTTTCAAAACATTCGTAGCACCTTAAGACAACGTAAGTCCGCTAAGTGCACGTAACCACATTAGTTGGTACCTTCAAAACATTTCCGCGCCGAGCTACGTCCGAGAAGTTGTGCACAACTTTACGCCGGTTGGTCAACAAACCCTTCTCTACTCTGTAGGCGCATAAACGTGCATCTGGGACATTATGCTGTATATATTATGATTCGTGAAGCTGTATAATAACAGCTAAAGCTGTTATGCTGTATGTATTATATACTGTACGTGCATATTATATACTGTACGTGTATGAAGCTGTACTAATCATAAATGAAGCTGTTATGCTGTATATATTACACTGACCGCAGAGAGCAGTGCTGAGGGCAGCAGTGCTGAGGCTGAGGGAGGAGCACATGAGGAGGGCGGGGTCAGGGAGGTGGGGGGCGTGCTGGGTGCCCCCCAGCACCCTACGGCCCATTAGCTCCCCCAGGGCCTCGTCCACAGCCCCACGCTCCCCACACCTGTACCCAACACATCGTTATGAAAAATGTCTTTATAAAAAATAATATATAAAATATATCAATAAAATATACCAGTACTCTAAATCTAAAGAAAAAATCTCTAAGTTATACTTGAATCACAAATGAAATGTAATCAACTTACAATTTTATGAAAAATCTTTAATTTATAAATCTCTAAATTACTAATCTATTAAACCCCCCAAAAGTCGAGGGGGAAATAAATATATATTGTTATTAAATTAAATTTAATACATTATTAATTTCTAGTAAATTTTAAAATATTAAGGAGTAAAATTAAATTTTTAGGATTAGTTAATGTTTTGTTAAATTTATGATACTGACGGCGGTGGGGGCGGTGGGGGGGCGGCGGTGTGGGGGCTGCCAGGGGTTGGCAGGAGTTGTGTGTGTGCCAGCAGTCCTGCCACCCCACGCAGACACACACACAAGCTCTGTGTACACATGTGTACTTCAATAAACTAACACAGTTTTTACACATTATCATACATTATGGATTCACTTCAATAAACTAACACAACTTCAGCACATTATCATATATTATGCATTTATCTCATTAAACTAACACAAGTTCTACACATTATGATGTATTATGTATTTATCTCAACGAATTAACACAACTTATACACATTATTACATATTTTTTATCAACATGGTCAACAAACCATCCCAGAGAAAAGTTAGTCTAATGTTATAATATGATAACATAATATAATGATATAATGTGATCATATAACGATACATATAATATGCATTGAGCTGCATGGGCAGCAACATGGCATGTGGCGGTCCCGGTAGGTCCCAGCACTCACCGGGTCCCGGTAGGTCCCAGCACTCACCTGGTCCCGGTAGGTCCCAGCACTCGCCTGGTCCCAGTAGGTCCCAGCACTCGCCTGGTCCCAGTAGGTCCCAGCACTCACCTGGTCCCGATAGGTCCCAGCACTCACCTGGTCCCGGTAGGTCCCAGCACTCACCTGGTCCCGGTAGGGCTGGTCATGGTCCCCAGACGCGTCCCCAGAGAGGAGGTTCAGCACGGACAGCAGGGACATGAACGTCTCCTCGAACTGCTGCTTGCCAGCCCACCCCAGCAGCTGGGCCCTGGGGGGGGGGTGGGGATTAGTGAGGCTTATGGTGGGGAGGTGGGGCTAACGGTGGGGAGGTGGGGATTAGTGGGGCTAAGGGTGGGGAGGTGGGGATTAGTGGGGCTAATGGTGGGACGAATGGTGCTAGTGAGGCTAATGCAATATCACTACAACTGACGACAGCTGTAGAGTGACCGTCGCAGCCACGGCCACGACACCGTGTGTGTATCACGGTTCATGTACGGGCGCTTCTATGTGCACAAAAATCAATACTAAAAACGGTGAATAACTCAGGAGATAATATGTAATATTATAATAATACAATAACTATACAGTATAATAGTTCCAGGATGAGACAATTAATTGTTATAGAAAAGTCAATTTAAAAAAAATCATTTCTTGTAGAGAATAAGAAATGAGCAGGAATTAGCAAATTAATTATATTGGTGACAATTATAAAGGTATAATATAATTATATATATTACTTATATACTTATATATAATATTATATTACTGAAGACGGATATATATAGTAATATAATTATATATAATTATATTGCTATTCACCTGAAGACGAACTGCTTGAGGGCCTCAGGCTCCTGTAGGAGGTGAGGGGGCAGAGGGGGGAGGGAGGAGAGGGAAGTGAGGGTAGGCTGCCACCCCGCCCCCCACAGGTCGGGGGGGCACCGCACCACTCCCCCCACACACGGTACACGACACAGCCCCACCACGACCCGTCTGTAATACAGGGTGCTGTGTAGAAGCAATTCAAGGGTTTGGCTTTAAAAACCCGAAAAACCCTTAGTCCATGGTTTTAAAACCAAGGGTTTGGCTTTAAAACCCCGAAAAACCCTTAGTCCATGATTTTAAAATCAAGGGTTTGGCTTTGAAACCCCGAAAAACCCTTATTCTATGGTTTTAAAACTATGGGTTTGGCTTTAAAACCCCCAAAAACCTTTAGTCTATGGTTTTAAAACTATGGGTTTGGCTTTAAAACCCCCAAAAACCTTTAGTCCATGGTTTTAAAACTATGGGCTTGAATTATTCACCTTAAGATCTCACAAGCTCAGAGCAAGCACGGTAGACTTGAACTCAAACTCTAATGGCTCTGTTGAACACGTGCTACTCCGTTTTCAACAAATCTACCTCAGCGTAGCCATGGTCTATAGACCACATGCATCGGGTAATTTCAAAAGATTTAACCTCAGATTTAAATTTAATTTAACCTCAGCGTAGCTATAAACCACCTGCATCGGACAATTTCTACAATTTCCAGGGCTGGACTGGGAGATTTCAATTACGCACCGGTAATTACCGGTGTTCTATGGAGCCACTCTGTGCGCCCTACGGAAAAAAGACGGGGGTATTCGCCCCGTAGCGGTTGGGAACACCTTGCGTCGCTTGGCTACCAAGGTTGGAGCATGGCCATTGTCCTGTCTCTTATACACATCTAGANGTCTGATTAGTCCAAGAAGTTTGTTGGATGTGTTAGCTTGCGTTTCAACATGCTTAGAAAATTTCAGCTCCTTGTCGACATAAACTCCGAGATCTTTTTCCACACTAGACTTTACAATCATTTTTCTCTCGTTGTAACCATGTCTTCTCATACTGTAATCTTGCTGTTCATTGTTCCTGTCTCTTATACACATCTAGATGTGTATAAGAGACAGGTGTAGGCCACCATCAGAGGCGTTAAGGTCGGGGCCCTGATCATTGACATGAAACCATTCCCTGTTTTTAATTAATAAAATCAATTCTTTTTTTTTGTTGGAATGGTGAGTGTGGGAGGCCTTTAAAAAAAAAATTACCACAATAATGGAGGATTCTTCAATTTACCACGTATATGTAAGTTGGATAAACTCAGACGGTTTGGACGGGAACAACAGAGACAAAAATCAAGAGGCTAAACTAGTGCAGTTTGCTGCGGAACGCTTGCTCAGTCAGCAAGTACGGCTGCCAACAAGGGAACACAATATCCTCGATCTATTATTCACTAATAATGAAAGAATGGTGGTTGACGTTCGGGTTGAAAAGATCTCACTGTTGGACCACCGCCTGGTGATGGTGGATACGACAATTGGAACTGATACCCAGCACAGCTCTATACCCAAAAAGGGGTTGGCAGGACTTAACTTCCACCATCGAAGTAGGAACTGGGGAGGAATTTGGAATTAACTCGTTGAAATTAATACAAGAGAATAGTTTCGTGAGATTTAAGCTAATGACATTTAAACAGAACTATATGAAAAACTGATGCAGGTATGTGCACGCTATACACCGAGAAGAGCGGGCTCTGAAGTTCGCAACATTCAGAGACAAATCACCAAGAGAAAACGCATACGAATAAATAAACAAATACTAGCTAAAACCACTAGTTATATGAGGAGACTGAAACTAGTAGAGCTTCTCAAGGCACCAGAACTCAGGTTGCAGGACTCGCACAGAACACAGAACATGCCGTCGAGGAACGAGTGTTTGAGGTCAGCAAAAGAATCTCAAGTATTTTTTTCAATGCGCTCAGTCCAAGGCTAAAATAAAAGCGCCAATGCGCCCGCTGCAGGTGATGCCAGACGCCACACGACAGCGCCACACGACACGCCACAAGAGACGTCACACGACACGCCACAAGAGACAGCAACATTACCTGATGTGTGGCGTTAGTGTGTGTGGCAGCGTTGATGGCATGTGGCGTTGCTCGAGCCACACGAGGAGCTGCATGAGACGTCCCGCTGCCACACCCACGCCACCAGCCTCGCCTGACAGACTCTGCCACACGCCCTCTGCCAACCTGTCATGTGGCTAAAATTATTATATTGTGGCGAGTGTGGCGGGGGTGGCAAGTGTGGCGGAGGTAGCAAGTGTGGCGGAGGTAGCAAGTGTGGCGGCACTTACGTGGGCAGTGTGGCTGGGGCGACGAGTGTGGCGAGTGTGGCGTGCACGGCGGCCACCATGGCGCACAGGACGCTGGTGTGGTCCATGTGGCTGAGGCGGTGGCTGAGTGTGGCGTTGCTGAGCACCTCAGCCACACACGCCACACTCTCACAGATGAGCCACACGCTCGCCTCGCCACAATGCAGCCGCAGCACCAGCACCTGCACAATATAATAACATTAACAATTATTGATATTATTAATTATTATTATTTTATTACTATGAAATAATAATATAATTACAATATTATTATTAATTATTCTTAATTAGTGATATTATAATAACATTATAATTATTTTATTATTAATAATTGTTACTAGTAATAAAATTATTATTATTATTATTTAATAATATCAAATAATATTGATAATTGATATTTGTATTAATAATATTTTAATTAATTATTATACATCATTTTATTGACCGCTTCGTAGCACAATTAAAATATCTGCTTTTGAAAGTAATGGCCAGGACCACAATAGCGGTCCAATGGATCTAATGGTCAGGACCACAATAGTGGTCCAATGGATCTAATGGCCAGGACCACAGTAGTGGTCCAATGGATCTAATGGCCAGGACCACAGTAGCGGTCCAATGGATCTAATGGTCAGGACCACATGTGGTCCAATGGATCTAATGGTCAGGACCACATGTGGTCCAATGGATCTAATGGCCAGGACCCCATGTGGTCCAATGGATCTAATGGCCAGGACCAAATGGCAAGTGGCATGTGGCAAGTGGCACCTCGAGAAGCAGGAGGCAGTAGCGCAGCAGTGGCACCGCATGGGTGGCACTCAGGTGGCACTGCAGGTGCTGCAGGTGGCACCTGACGGCAGGTGCCAGCACCTCGACCAGCTGCCCCAGCTGGTAGCCTTGCAGGTGGCACTCCTGCAGCAGCTGGTGCAGGCGGTCGCTGTACTTGTTGCCACCACCTGCAATATGGCGGGAATAAACTAAAACAAAAATATTAATACCAGTACAGGATGTGGTGCGTGGTGATGTGGTGCGTGGTGATGTGGTGCGTGGTGATGTGGTGCGTGGTGATGTGGTGCGTAGCAAGTATGTATTAGCTAACCCTAGCTCTGCTGATGTAGGCGTCTTATGATGACGTATTATACGGTATTGATAAATGAATGATAAAATAGATTATATTGATATATTAAAAACAACATAGATGCTTATGATGGAGGAATAGTATAGCAACGAGGTGAGGGCTGGCCGGTGTCATGATGTGCTGCTGGTAATTAAGATATTACTTTATCATGAAGATAATATCTTGTCGTGAATATAATAATTTATAAAGATAATATCTAATCACTACAATAATACCATGTCATGATTGTGGTTAACCCTGATAAACACAGATGACTGTGACTAAGCTTGACCAACACACAGAACTGTGACTAACGTTAAGGTACTACCATGACTGTTGTTGAGCCCTATGAACTGCACCGTCAGTGGGGCGCCCAGCCTGTACTGTGACAAGCTTTCAAGTCTTATCGTTCTTGTTTTCCTCCTGTTCCTGATCCCGGCCTCCAACCTACACACAAACCCTGCACCTACCACCACCAGCCGACATACCACCATCAGCCGACATACTACTACCAGCCGACATACCACCATCAGCCGACATACCACCACCAGCCGACATACCACCACCAGCTAACCTATCACCACCAGCCAACTTACCCACCAGCCAACCTACCACCACCAGCCGACATACCACCACCAGTCGACATACCACAACCTACCACCATGACTTCGCTGCAACCTACCGGCCTGCAGATCTACCAGGCCGTCAGTCTGAAGGCCTTAAATAAAACTTTCTGGTAAGTCTATGACTGACCTGGTCGGTAGTCGGGATGTGGCTTAGGCAGCAACGCCACAATGGCACTGACCTGGTCGGTAGTCGGGATGTGGCTTAGGCAGCAACGCCACAATGGCACTGACCTGGTCGGTAGTCGGGATGTGGCTTAGGCAGTAATGCCACAATGGCATTAACACGCCGCATGAGCGCCACACAGGCAGCTGTATAGAGCGGGTGTTGAGAGCTGCTGACGCTGCTGTTGCTGCTGCCAGTGCTGACGCTGCTGGTGTTGCTGCTGTTGGATCTGTTGCTGTTGGGGCTGCTGTTGTTGCTGGCGGCACCTGACGGCGCAACGCGACGAGGTCTCGCAGCCTGTACATTAAATTCAAGCTTAGCTTGCATGCTAATTACTCCAATTAATGATCATCATAGACATATAACTTCTAAACACAAATTTTGGTCAAATATCGTCACTCATGAGGCTAAGGTATCCCAACTTTAAACTAAATAAGTACAAATCATAGCAGAGTACAGAGGGATCTGACAATTTTTTAGTCAAACACATTATTGGATGTGCTATCGCTACTCACTCATGTACACGTAGCGGTACAAGTGCACTCGTAGCGGCCTAAATACACATACCCGAATACAATTTAAAGGTGGGGCGCGACTCTGCATTAGGGTCCGCCTAAGACTCGGGGAGCACGTAAATCAGCTTCTACTAGCTCGGTATGACTCGGCTCGGCCAACCCTCCTGATACTCTCAGGCGTTTATATAGTTGCAAAAGAGATTCTGACCAGAAACTGATTTCGATCGGTTGGCCCATTAGACCCAGAATTAATAACTTTTCCTTGACTGTTGTGACTATTCGGCCGAAGTCTGGGCGGTCCCCGAATTTTGATAGGGTAGCGGCCTAAATACACATAGCGGTCAATTTATCGTCTGTGATTGGTGTGATTAGTTTTAAAGGACGTCAGTAATTGGCTGACGGGGGTTAAAAACTCGTAACTACTTCTGATATTGCGGCTCCAAAATTTTCCTCCTATATTTTGTCGGCCTCGTAATTCCGACGACGTCTCTTCTCACTGGTCTGGCCGCACAACACAGAAAGAAAATAACTTTGTTGCGGTCGACACGTCATGTTCACTTAGGAATAGATTGATTAACGTCATGATTACTGGGATAATCAACGGGCTAATTAAGGGCTGATCACTGGGCTAATCAAGGGCCCATTACTGGGCTAATCAATGGGCTAATTAATGGCTGATTACTGGGGTAATCAATTTGCTAATTATGGGCCAATTACTGGGCTAATTATGGGCCGATTACCGAGGTGATCAATGGGTTGATTGATGCGTTGATACCCAAAAAATTTTTGAAAATAATCATGGCCTGTTACAGAGGCCTGCAGAGTGGCATGCTATAGCGACATACAGAGTGGCATGCTACAGTAGTAAGCTTTGTCACCTGGCGTGTGGCATGCAGACCGTACAGCATGGCATGCTAGTCACCTGGCGTGTGGAATGCAGACCGTACAGCATGGCATGCTAGTCACCTGGCGTGTGGCATGCAGACCGTACAGCATGGCATGCTAGTCACCTGGCGTGTGGCATGCAGACCGTACAGCATGGCATGCTGCAGCAGGCGGCAGTCGAAGCTGTCACGCTGCAGCACGGCGCTCAGCTCAGCGGCATCCAGCGGCAGCAGCAGCGCGCAGCATTCCTCAGCACTGCAGCACGACCCACGCTCACACCTGTGGGGTGAGCGTAGGGAGGGGTGAGTGTAGGGAGGAGGGAGGAGTGATTGTATGGAGTACGAGGCGTGTCCGTAAAATAAGTTCCACGGGCTGCCGCTGGCGCTAGGATCGTTTCTATGCGCGGCTAGGCAACAGAGGCCGAGGCTAACTCCAAGCCCTTACCAAGCCAGCCTCCCTGCGACGTCCTGCCTTACCAAGCCAGCCTCCCTGCGACGCTTGGTCTTGCCCCAGCAGGCGTCAGCGATGGAGCTTCCTCTTGCGTCTTCCGCAAGCAGCGAGTTGCGTTCTCTTATTCGTTTCCTGGCCGCTCAGAAGAAATCGGCGCAGGAATTTCAGTAAGAACTTTGTCAAGTGTATGGGGAAGAGTGTATGAGCTCCAGGGTGGTGCGCAGCTGGGTCAGGGACTTTAAAAAATGGCCCGAATTGACAACTGAAAATAGCCCGAGTTGGGGAATCAGACAACCTGCCTCTGTTGCCTAGTCGCGCATAAGAAATGATCCAAACGCCAGCGGCGGCCCGTGGAACTTATTTTCAGAGACATGCCTCGTACAATTGCTGCTGACACGACGCACCTGCTGCTGACACGACGCACCTGCTGCTGACACGACGCACCTGCTGCTGACAGACGCACCTGCTGCTGATAAGACGCACCTGCTGCTGATAAGACGCAGCGATAAGGAGCTGTCAACATGGCGGCTGGTGAGACGCATAACATCTGCAGGCTGCTGCTGCTGCTCGCTGCCCTCCAGCTGCAGCTGCAGCGCCTGTAGCTGCGCAGCAACTGCAGCACTCCTGCACACGTCAACATCATTTACATAACCGGTCGAACAATTCAACATCAACATAAAATATCAGAACATAATCAACGTTAATTTCAACAAACATCATCAGCAAAATTGTGTTGAGAGTTGGGGTGGTGGCGGGAGTCAGGGACGTGGCTGGGGGTCGGGGTCTGGGTCAGGGTCAGGGTCATGGCCGGGGTCAGGGTCAGGGTTGTAGTGGGAGTCGTGGTCGAGGTCGGGGTCGTGGCGGGAGGTCGTGGCGGGAGTCAGGGTCGTGGCGGGAGTCAGGGTCGTGGCGGGAGTCAGGGTCGTGGCGGGAGTCAGGGTCGTGGCGGGAGTCAGGGTCGGGGCACCACCTGGAGGCGACGACGCCGGCCAGGTGGCCCGAGGTGTAGGGCTGCAGGTGGTGAGGCGCCAGCTGTGCGTGCACGGCAGCACCAGCTGGGGAGAGCAGGAAGTCCAGGCGCCGCTGCAGGAGCGGCAGGAGGCGCGGCAGGAGGTGCAGAAGGAGGGGCGAGCACAGCAGCTCCTGCAGCAGGAAGAGCAGCAGGGCGCCGCTCTGGCTGCTGTGTACACCTCCTGCAACTGCAAGCACAGCCTGCCCGTCTGCCACCTGCAACACGGGTACAGCTGGTGTACTGTGCACCTCCTGCAACACGGGTACAGCTAATGTACTGTGCACCTCCTGCAACACGGGTACAGCTGGTGTACTGTGCACCTCCTGCTAAAAGTTGAGCGTACACCCTCCAGTAGTCGAGCACAGCAGAACACGTACATATATTAATTAATTATCAACTTGTCACAGGTAGTGTATTTTACTACAAACTATGATATTGAGCTCTATATATTAAGCTCTACCTGAGGATCGGGTTTCGTTGACTAAGGTAGTGAGGATAAGTAAGACACATCAGTCCAGATAATGTATCTTGTATACGGAGTTGTAATACAGAGTTGCGATACAGAGTTATGAGCTACGGCATCGACCGTAAGGTCGGAGACTCAAACTACACGCTACATCGCGGAGTGCTTATCAGCTATATGGGGCTCTGCTTAAGGTTGCTAGACCTTTTATAAGCTCCGCTTCCGCCCACTACTGAGGTCTTGATCGCGTGATCTATCACGTGTCTATCAGATGTTGACTCGTGGACTCAATAGCTAACTAGGTCTGTTGGTAAACACATTAGGACTTGTTTCCGCGACCTACTCTCGGACAAACTCCCCCACGCTTGCCTACCACACAACATCCCTCAACAACGCTGGTCAACAGCCTCAATGTTATAGTATCACTTCTTTAGTTAACTTACCAGCTAAGAACATCAATAACTGTCGGTGAGGTGTCCCGCAGGAGCCTAAAGTATCACATGGGAGCAGTTTCTGTACAACTAAAACACGCCATGAAGATGCCATTTAATCTCAATTTTGCATTCCAGGCCAGAGAAATGCAACTATTTCAGGCCTCAATTATATGGAAATTTTATTATTAATCCTCCATGCTATGTGTTGTGGGATCCTTTAGCTTAATATTATAACGGTGTGGCAACGGTGAAGTCGGATTGGATGTACAGGGAGCACAACGTGTATGTGTACGTGGCTTCGGATGTATTTAATATAATTATTAAATATTAATAAACCCTGGATATAACTGTTATAAAACTATTGTATAATCACTGGAAAACTTATTTATTACAGTTATATCCTGGGCAACCTAGAGGAACCTACTTTATTGAGAGTTGGTTGCATTGGTTGCTAGAAAAATTTTGCTTGTCAATTGCACTGAGTATTGCAAAACTGAGTCGGAAGGATTCTGCTATTCATTATTCGTATAAAGACTATTTGTTACTCACTCATTCCGTTACTCGTTACTCACTCTCACCCGTAATTAGTAGTTCAGCTCAAATAAGTGCACATACAAATAAATATTAATAGATATTCACACAGAATCATATCATAGTCAATACGAAAATAAAATTGACATCGAGCTATATAAGCAAGTGCAGGAAATTCTACTTCATCGCTCACACCTTCATGAGTAGCCAATACAAACTGCGATTGAGCTAACGATGCAATTTAAATAAACTTCATTTGCTAAGTTAAATAATTTCTAACAGCAAAAATTTCCCCATTAAAAGGGAATATATTCCTTCTAATTAGAACGACTGCAACAAATCTAAAAAATTATGATAAAAAAATTTAATGAAATTCAGAAAAAAAACACTCACGCTGAGCAGCGGCGCAGCAGCGCGCGAGCTGAGCGCATGCAGCAGCAGTGCAGACGCTGCACCGCTGGCGTGCACGACGCGCAGCAGCTGCTGCACGCTGCGCTCCTCGTGCAGCAGCACCACGTCCTGCACGTGCAGCACCAGCAGCCACCGCAGCCAGTCGCCCTCGACAACGTGCCGCACCTGAGGGGAGAGTGAGGGGAGAGTGAGGGGAGAGTGAGGGAGAAGTGAGGGGAGAGTGAGGGAAGAGTGAGGGGAGAGTGAGGGGAG